AATCCTTCCTTCTCAATCGCGCTCAGACTTTATTCGAAACAGATGTAATCGTTGTCTTTACCTGCGAACACTTGTAAATGTACCTTTATAGACCAAATTTTGCCGCCACCTGCACGCGGTCTTCAAGTTATCCAATCACTTAAAAACATATAAAAAATAAAATTTAAAAACTTGAAAAATCCAACTCTTTAAACAATTCTAGATGACTTTTTGTTTTATGGAATTATACTGCAGTAAGTAAAATTCCATTTTTTCCGCTTTGAATGCAAAAATGATATTGCTATCCAGTATTATAGAGAATCAATATTGATTCGTAAGCAGGGCAAAAATAAGACCAACATTCCTTAGTCTACACTAAGGCGTGTAATCATGTGGTTTTAACATGACTGTCTAAAGACAGAATAAATTTTGTATGGAAAGCACTGACAAAAGCAAATATCGCAATCTAATTTCAGCGATCACGCCAGAACTGCGGTCATCACGACAATTTTCACGTAAATTGTTCTTGAAGGAGTTGTTAATTAGGGTGCAGTTTCCTTGAAAAACACGTTCAAGAAAGCGTGCATTAGGTAACGTCCTTCTTGGAACGTCAATAAAGTTAAAAGTTGTCATGTTTTCGAGCAATAAAGCGCCGAGAATATGGTACTTTCTCTGGCTGTGATATTCTGATTCGTTGCTCGATGAAAAGAAGGACCGTCTGATTTGAGTTTTGGGTGGAAACAAATCGATTTCTCTTTCCCTGCGTTTTACGTCACACGAATCAAAAAATATACCACAAGCAGCGCGAAAAAATGGTACCTCTTCACGTTGCTGACGACATATAACGCTGAGTAAGAACTAGACTGCCTGAATTCAAACAAAAGTTCGTGGGAAGGGTCTCTAGGCGTTTGAGACCTTTGATGATTCGCAGGGGAATATAGCTCCATGTCAAGGCGGAATCTCAGCGAGAACTCCTTCAAAAAGACAAGAAACGTCAGTCTATGACTAGCAAAACATTCACACCGTGAAACTGAGTACCTAAAGAAAGTGCAGAACCTTTCACAAGGTGTTGCCAGCGCTAGTTTGTGGTCTTAGAGTCAATTCCGTGATCAGCTGACCTTGTAGTCTTTTCTCTTCAACTGCTTAGCAAAGAGATGCTTAACTAGAAGTTTGGGTCACACAAAGGTCCTTGACTATATTATCTTCGTGATAGGCATTGTGTTACCACAACGATATTTGCCAGTACAGGATAATTTTTAATTCCTTTTGCCGACGGGGCACACTGTTATGGTCTGCACCCTGCATGTTACAACTTTCATAAAATAATTTCACTTCATTTCAACATTCAAAACTGTTCGTTGTAAACCAGTGATTTTTCGTGAACTTTCCTTGCAACAACTCTCACATTAAAGATGTTAGATTTCAGACCTAAAGAAAAACTGGCGAAAAGATCCGTAAGATATCGTGCAGATAAACCCATAAAACAGCAGGGAGCGATATTGGAGGCTGTTGCCCGCTGCCAGCCGTCTATGTTACCGACTCAAATGCCCAAAGAATTCAATGTACTTCTCCTTTAAAAAAAAGAGTAGTTTTAGCTGGTATTGATAAATAGATATTGAAACAACTTTGAAGGTAACAACCCAACTTCTTATGTTATACTAAACATTTATTCTGTTTTCAATCCGTTAATGAGTTAGCCATATTTTTAACACGAGCGGAATTCGTTCTTCGCGTGCCCGTCAATAAGTACGCGTGCATCTTCAAGTGATCTAGGTCAGACCTCGTCGTTTTAGCAGTAAAGCGAGCTGTCAAAGATACTTGAATATCGTGAAGTAACTTAAAAGGATCATCTGCGATGAGCCTTTATTTGCCCTTTCATTCCTGGTTCAATTGTTAAAGCCAATTTGTAACCACAATCGGGCCAATACAAGACTCCGTTTCTACTCTATGAGATATGGCGCCGTATTGACTCCATATCTTGGACAAATTGACGCTACTATCCGGATGGGACAATGCGCAAGGGTAAGCGAACAGTTTGATACCACAGATAAGGTCATTCACCGTGTTTAGACTTCTCTATCCATTTGTCCCATTCTCTTCATTATCCCCTTTCGTTAAGCGCGAGAACATGTCGGAAACTCGTTTAACTTGCAGAAAGCTTCCGATTAAGAGATAACGTCTGTCGGATCCGGCGTCGAGCTGCTATTCAAATTTTTTTCTCAGCATGTAACAGGTAAGCAAGTTAACGCATGGTTTCGCTTGAACTTACGAGGACGTGATAAAACTTCCTACAAGTGCTTCAACCAAATAATTATTTGCGTCTCGGAGTGTTTTTAGGATGGAGAAACAAGCGTTTGATGTGCAACGAAACGTCTTTCAAATGAAAATAATGCATTTCTACCAATGCCCTCTCTATAACATGATGACATAGATAATTAAACTGCTTTAAAAGTTTTATTAGAGGAAACAATTTTCCATTTAGAAATTGTCAAGCGGAAGTTCGTAAATATGCAACCTGCTTTCGAAAAAAAGTCCCTTGATTGGAGCAACTACATTCAATCGAGACGCAATTCTTAACTTTTTCACTCCAACATGAGATTAATATGTAATTTTGCTTTACAATATCAATGGAGACATTGGGCAAATTCTCATATCCAATATGAGAAAAAGGTATTGAAGTCCTAAAGGAGAATTCATATTCTGATCTTTGGATTGAAAGGGTTAAGTTACACCCAACGCACTTGCCTTCAGTCCCATTATCAAAATTTTCATTCACAAATTTATGGAAAGTGCAGTCGTAAACAGTTTCATCGTTTCTTTGTCAAGAGATGTCAAGTAAATGCAGTGACTTGAATCAGTTTCAAGTTCCTCGGGCAAGAAATGGATTGAAATCATTTGAGAAAATTAAGCTTAATGTCTGGCTGAGTAATGAAGAGGCAAGTCCATTAGCCTAACAATATAAAACTGGCCGCGAGATTTGGTCAGCCATGGACACACATGATCGAGTAACTAACAGCTCCCGAAAGTGAACCTTGACGAACGAATATCCATTGTTTATCTCACTTCCTTTTTTATGCATTAGCGCAACCGTGGGTAAGATCATTTACGTTCGGCAGGAGTAACCTGCATGAGTCTGCTAAAAATTCAGTAATTAAAAAGGAAGGAGTGACGAAGGACTGAGGCTCGACAAAAAAAACATAACAGCTTGTAAAGCTGACAACAATCCTGCAATTAAACTTGTATACCTAATTTGGGTCTAATTTTGGTGTCTGCGGATTATTTTTTCGTTGATTGAATTATATTGAAACTAACTGCACAATCAGTGTAAGTCTATTTTACTGAACTAACCGAAGTTTCTCGCATTTCTCGAGAAATTAATTATCGACTGTGATACTGACAGACATTTTCGCTCACATGGTCTCAAAAATGACTCCGATGGTTTGGTTTAATTTTTGATGAAATGACTCAAAATCGCCTCGAGGCTTATCAAATTAGATAGTGGGCCGTTTTGAGTACAGCTCTCTTTGCTTATTGACAAACTCCGCCTTCGCACTTGCGCAATGAGTAAGTCCATTAGCAGTGCGAAACAGAATGGGAGACGTTGGGTATTAACGCCAACGCAAGATGTTTGGAGAGGCTAGAAAAACTTTTTTTCTATTCTAGAACTTTTCTAACAAGGTTTAAAGTTAAAAGATGAGAACAGGTTAAGTTAAAGAGGGCCGTGGTGGACCAAGTTAGCACCACAACAAAAGAACAAAACAGTGCAATATTGAAACGGTGTTTGCTTTTTATCTAAAATAACTCCTCAGTAATTATCGAATCACTGACTTTCCTTGAGTGCATGGTAATGCAAACTGCCAAATAAAAACAAAACTGCTGCGGAAGGAAGATTAACGTTGTACATCTCATGTTTTTTTCATACCTCAATGTCGTCACAGTTATTTATGTGTGTCATGCGTAGGAATTTGTAGAAAACCAATCGAGTGTTGCGGGCGGATGAGAAGAAAATGTTGAATACTCCCAATAGTTCATTACACACAAGAATGCTTCAGCTCGGAATGACTCGGCATTCAGTCAAGTTGGCCACACCACAAATGGCGCGGACAGAGTTAATTCTTTAATCCACTTGACGCTCACCTTAAAGAGGTGGTTTACTCTGTTCCCTGTAAAAATGTCAAAAAGTGCCCCATCATTGTTTTCATTGAGGATGTAGCTAAGCAGCTTTCGCTTGTAGGAGATACCCAGCTAGGAAGTAAAGAACATCGCTAATTCTGGTTGAATAGAATATGAACAGGACGTGAGTATTCGTAATTGGGGTAGTGATTGACGCATTCACGTAAGAAGCACAACTTAATTCAATTTCTTCTCTTCCACCCTAATAATCTGGCTCTAAATCTGATAAAGTTTAAAGTTGACAAGAAACAGGGCATTCTCTAACTTTGCCTCGAATGTGGAGGAGCAAAATGACAGCAAAGTCTCTCTCAGAGCTTCTCGGTCACATGCTTTGTAGTACTCAGTTGTTCCTGTCGCGCACTCTCGTATTCATTTGAGCACAGCACATTTTTATCTGTTTCATCCTTTAGACACAGTAACTAAGAAAAAAACTGAATAGTATTGGCAATAAAAGCACAGTTTATTTCGTCGTCTTTCCATTGTCTGCTTTTTATCGAGAAATGTGCAACATGAGAGATGTGCGCTGATTGATAGGTATCGACTAGATGCCTGCTGAGCGAGCTAAGGTAATGTAAAGATGTTTCCATAATTAGGATATTTGGTCCAAATTTAGCTCAGCCTTTCGCAATGTCATAATTAATCGCTGCTTATGAAGCGAAAACGTGGCAACCGTTTCCAATTATGAGATGAGAAAAGCATCGAGAGCAAACATTTGCGCTTTACAATTTTGCAGTAACCAGACCAAGAATTGATGTTCACCACAAGCTGAACCAAGTAAAGGTATTTTCCTTCTTAGAAGGAATGTAAGTGATTCTTAATAAGCGTGCTTATACAAGGATAACAATGCAGTTTTCTGCCACTTTTTCAAAAGAAGAGAAAATGTTTATAGATATTAAAATATACAACAATAGAAAAGGCGGTCACTCGGTTTTAAGCTTATAAGTGGAACGCCCAAATGAACCATTTGGAACAATGAATTTTGCCGAAAGGCACAAGGAACAGCTGCAAAAATCCATTATTTCTCTACAGAACTGGCGTAATATTTATTTCATCAAAATTCAACAGATGATGTGCGCGAGATGTTTGTCAGTTGTGGACGATATTGGTTTCCTAAAGTTAAGAGAAGAAAAGTTAGCAACAGTGGCATAATTTCTTTTAATTTTCCACCGCTTTTACTCAGAAGCGTTACCTCCGAAAAAGAAGCGCAATAAAGCGTCGTGCCCACAAGCATGAAGTCTCTACAGGATACCAAGCCCTGGGCGACGTAGTGTTTAGACGATATAGTGTCAAATACAAACAAACAAACACGAAATTAACCTTCCTAGCTTTTGGCTTGCGCCTTAGGGCAATTTCAACGACTACAAGAATCTTTGTAGGTTGGCAGATTGCATTTATCCAAAATCCCTCCTTCTTTTTCAGCCATGATTTAAGCGAAGACCCAAGAATGCGAACCCAAATTAGGACAAAAGCATGTCTGGCATTTGAGGAGAAAAGAAGACCCGTTTCCGATTTGTTATTTGAATGAAATGTTGCGTTAAATTTTCTCAGATCGTCTTCTATCTTTACACCCCAAAATTGTAAAGTAAACGTTTTGAACAACAACAGCTTACGCGTGAAAATCTAAGTACAGTCTGGATTGTTCTGCGTTACTGTACTATTTGCAAAGGAAGTAGTTCAAACTTAATGACGTCATTGACAAGTGTCAGTGTTTCCGGTATCTCGATAACTTGATCCCCCACCCTGTTGTCAGTGAAACGTTCAGCAAAACACGATGATGATCCTGAAAGCGTGGTCGGGTTGATCGTAGGAAGATGGTTCGACAGAACTTTCTGGAATTTGTGTTGTTGAAAGAGCAAGTCGATTCAAAATTTGCGTCAGTCGAAAAGCGTGTAAATTATTTGTTCGGCGTTCAGCTTACTCGAGAGGAGGAGGACAGCGAAAGATGTTGGGTGAAAGTCGAAGGCGGCGAAGATGATATTAGGCGCGCCAAGGTTCGCAAAAAAATCTTACTTCTGAAATGGTTAGTTACCGCGCGATTACTCGAATTTGATTTGTTTTGCTAACTCTGAACGTGTCTTTTTACAGGATTATATCATAGAGGTTTGTACACGGACTCTCAGCTCCGTTGAAGAAGCTGAGATTGTTTGGAAGGAAAATAACTTTACCTCGACCCCAGTTGACAGAACTGCGACCAAACAAAACACATCTGTGGTAGAAGTCAATAACAACGACTGTCATAAAGACGAAAAAGATTTAGCTCAGAAAACCACAGACCAGTCATTAGACTCTAACGAAAGAAATCGGAGCGAAGACGCTGACAATTCTTTATCGTTGGAAAAAGTATCCGAAGAGGAATGCGCTGAAACAGCAGAACAGACATTGCCTTCAGACAACATAGAATTTGCTTCTCGAAGCGCATTTGAAATGGGTGTGAATCGCAATGAAGCTAAAAAGCCCAGTGTCGTCGTCGAGAAAGGTAAAGGCGACGAAAAAAGCTGCGATTCCTCTGTTAGTGACGAATCGCTAAGAGACTTTGCGAAGAAACTTGGATACAATGAAGACACGATTACAACTGGGCTTAGCAAGCTTGGACCTTCAGCGGACACTAATTCACTGTTGTCAGAACTTGTGAAAGCCCAGTCTTCTGTGAAACAGTTGGAAGAAGGATCGTCGACCTTCAACTACGAAAAACCAGCTCCTGTCCCTGAAGACTCAAGCTGCCTGAGACCTATCGTCATCGATGGAAGTAATGTTGCCATGAGGTACGTAACGTTTGCATAATCTTCGATCTTCAAATTGCGGTTGTTTCGCATGGTCAATGCATTCTTTAGCTATTACGCTGTTGGATTGAAGTTTTGTTGTTGTCAACATCAGATTTATCTTCCACAGAATCGCTACTAGCAAAACAATCGAGCACTTCACTCGTACGACATTTCTATTTGCACAAATATAAGGTTATACACAACGTACACTGTACAACGAGGTTAACTTATGCAAGATGGCGATCTCACTCTCTCGGGCTTTTTAGGTACTTCTATGAGAAATTTCTCGATGTAATCGCATATTACAAGATTTCATACGTTCAATCTTGCAACATATCAAAGTTTTATCGCTTTAAATCAATTAGGGGTCTTTGAGATTGTATAATTGTGCGTGTTTTGGGGCGGAAGAGACGTGATATTTGGAATAGTCGCACGTGTGTGCAAGTAAAATTGTTTTGGAGTTTAATTGTTTTAAATCACATTTGAATTCGTTGCACGTTTGAATTGGTATTTATCATGAAGTCGTGTACAAATCAGAACAGTTCAGTTTTTATTTAGCTGTTGTCTTGAAAAACTTGAATTTGGACTTTGAGATTTTTATAAGTTGCCATACCGAACATGCCCAAAAGAATTATTTGCAGCTCATATTTTCGTTGATGACGAGTCTTATTTGGTTTCGAAAACTGTTCGCACGATTCTTCTTTAACGGAACTCCTAGAATTATCTGTTTTTAGAACACACTTTAGAGTGAATACTTTCCGCAGGAAAAATTAGTGGAGTAGGTATGGACAAAATCGCTGTAGTGGTTTTAATTAGAGAATGAAGTAATTTCCGAATCGTTATTTTCCTTTAGATAAATTTTTGGGATATCGGAAGTACGTTCCGCTACCCACCACCTCAACCCGTTACCAGAGTTTCTCATACGCAATATTTCCGTCGTTTGTTTGATTTCAGAAAGTCAAGACTATTTCTTTACTATAGGGAAAATTCCTCATACCAAAACCTTTTAGATATCCTATTTCAAAAGGAAGGGGTTAATGCTGAAAACTGTTCAATTTTAACTTCTAAATATCTTTAAATCCAATAGTTTTCAAAGCAAAAAGAAATTCACAGCGCATTTGCAGTTGTTTTCGCTTGCCAAACTTTTGTTGTTACCTCTTTTAAGTATCATTTTTTTGTTATACTTTGACTTTGGCTGGTTCAGCCTCGGAACAGAACTAAATGGTTACTTCTGGATGAGGGGATTTAAGTTTCAGTGATGCGAGCAATTGACCAGTAATCACAAAAGATGCTTAAAGACTGTCTCAGACAGGAAGAGGCTTTTAGAGGGCTTATAAATTGGGCCAACCATATTATCAAGTTTGTCGAAAGGAAGTATTCTATCATAATCCAATATGTCATCTGGCTTTTTCTATGACATGGAAAGGTATCACAGAGATTTCAAATATTTGACTCTGGATAATTGATCACAGTCATGAAATTTGAGAGAATGTCCCTCAAAAGCATGTAGCTTGGTACTAGACAAAATAATCAGTTTAAATCAATTCATCATAACTTGATCTCAACCTTTTCAAGACCTTGACATAATAGCTATGGGCCACATGCATTAAATAGTTGATGTAATAGTAAACTAGAGGCATATTTGCATTCACTCGGGCTTTCCTTTGTTAAGATACTTTGTTTTTTTTTGTCTTCATTTGTTTATTCTGCTTGTTTCATGGTCACATTGATCATACAGGATGAGATTTGCATTTATGCTCCTCTCTATTAGTGTGGGTTTACCTTGAACACTGTGTGCATATTTTTTATGCCGTTTGAGTGTACTATACACATGCAGATTTTGCTACAAGATATAGCGACACTAATTTTATTTGCCCAAGATTTAATCGTATGACCAAAGGCGGTAGATCATTCGCAGTCACTACCTGTAAACTTTGGAATAGCTTAAGTCTAGAACTCAGGAATTCTGTGTCATTAGAATCTTTTAAGAACAATTATAGAAACAACCTTCTTAACTTAAGGTACAACAGAAACTGCATCATTTTATAGTCTAACATATGGTTTATCATTTGCTCACAAGTTACATTTTATTTTTACTTGTAATTCGTCTTCTTATTAGATAAATATTCCTAGTTTTAATTGATAGTTATGTTAGAATTCAACATACATTGCTTGTTAGAAGTTTTTAAAGAGAGAGTCACAAGTTTATTAGTTACTTCAACTATTCCGTGCCACCCTCTCTAAATAAAGTGTATTATTATTACTGTGGCAAAAACTTCTCTTCTTCCACTAATACACTGTGCCTTATGCTCATTGGTCAAAATGTCTTGCATGCGAGTTAGGAACGTGACTGTGATTTGCCACCAAATGAAAAAAAGAAAAGCTGGAATTTCAACTTGGGCATTTCCTTTGGAAAGCTTGAGTTACTAGTCTTAAGAGGTAGAAGTTAAAATATAATTGGTGTGCACAGTCTAATTTGTTTTAAACCTTTACACTCTTACATCAGTATTCATATTCTTTATTTTTACTCTGGTAGTGACAAGTAATTTTTCTAATGACAATTAGGAGCTTTTGAAATTGGTTATCATTTCCATGTGAGGAGAAATTAGAAGCCAGTCTTCGTTAGGGGTTAAATGGTGTCAATTGTACTGAAAGTAACAGAGTTCTTGTGTATTTATGAGAAAACAATTTTTTTTTTAATCATTTTGAGTCAGGTTACCAGTAGTTCCAGAAATGTTTCACTAAGTCCATTTAAAAAAGTCCAGACACCTTGGTTATGCTTTTTGCTGTCTATTAGAAATTTAATAAATTGTTACCATCACTCTATAAATTTTCTATTCCTTATTTTATGTTGAGAGTACCGTATATGCCCGCGTATAAGCCGTACTTTTTTCCAAAAATCGCTAGAAATTGGGGTTGTGGCTTATCTGCGGGATAAGATTTGAAAAAGGTGTAGTGAACAATGACGCTGATAGCCAGTTTTTCATTTTTGTGCCCGATCTAATGCCTGGTTACTAAGCTTCAAATGTTCTGCTCACATTCTTGTTGTAATGCAGAAATCTAGGGAAAAACTGTCTTGAATGAAGAAATTCCTGTCAACAAATACCAGAAAAAGATCAGTCATATGTCAAAGTTGGTAGAAACGATGTTCATTATATTAAAGTGCTAAAATTGTGGGTAAGACTTTGAAGTATTTTCCATCGCAATGTTAATATTGAGTTTATGTTCGATGAACATTGGATGAAGAAGACTTCTCAAGACTCGACTTTGGATTTCTTTTGATTTCTTACAAAAAAAATTTTTTTTCCAAAATTTGAGCTCCTAAATTCAGGGTTGCGGCTTATCTGCGGGTGTGGCTAATCTCCGGGCTTTTATGGTAGCTAGTTTTGATCATCAATAAACTCAATTAAATTGAATCGCACTCAGAGATTTTATTTTTATTTTTCTGATAGTCATGGGAATCAGAAAGTATTCTCCTGTAGGGGAATTGGTCTAGTCGTGGACTGGTTTCTTGCAAGAAATCACCTCAACATAAAAGTTTTCGTCCCTAGGTGGCGCAAAAATGCACCACGTCCTGACTCACCCATCACCAATCAAGACGTGCTGAAAAGGCTTGAAGAGGACCGTATCCTTGTGTGGACCCCAAGCAGACCAGCTGCCAATGGGAAAATCATCAAATGTTATGATGACCGTTACATCATCAAGCATGCCGCTGACATCGATGGTGTTATTGTTTCAAATGATAACTTCCGTGACCTGATGGCAGAAAGTCATGACTGGAGGAAAGTCATTGAACAGCGTCTTTTGATGTACTCATTTGTTGATGACAAATTCATGCCACCGGATGACCCCATAGGGAGGCATGGTCCTACCTTGGATGAATTCCTCAAAAAGGGATGTGGAAAATTGTGTCCATATTTAAGCAAATGCACATATGGAAAACGCTGCAGATTTCTTCACCCTGACAGAAATCAAGGGAGAGAGGTAAATTGTGTTCCAGCAAACACAGCACATCTACCTCCAGAAGTCCCCTATGGCCATGTTTCAAGGCCACCTAAACCACTGCCGCCGTGCCCTCCAAGGCCACTGCCAGCCACACCAACAGAATTTCTTCAAAAGCCTCTGCCATTACCACCACACAGTGAATTCCCTGCAGAGATGGCAAGGGTGTTTCCACCAACCTTAAGGACAGGCCAGGTCGTGGGAATTGGGGAGCGGAGATCTGACCCATTGCCATGTCAAAAACAACTTCCTCCTGATGTGCAAGCAATGCAAGTCCGGTTTCAGAGAACTCATAGCATTGGAAGTGTTCAAGACCAAGCTTGTGGCGGTGCTCCAGTTGGCCCTGTCGGCACAATGTTGCGACGCGGAAGTCTACCCCATGCCTATCATCCTCCACAGTATTCATCCCATTCTGGACACCCTGATATTATGGTGCGTGGCTCTATGACACTACCTCGAATGCCAAGGGAAAAGGTTGACTGGATGATCCAAGAGCAGATGTTTGGAGGGAGCCCATACCAATATAGACCTCAGTACCACTCCAATCCACCTGTCAGTAGCCCGTCACATTACAAGGGCCACCCACCAGCAAGCCTTCCGCCAAACCACTGGAACCTTCCACCATTCCCACCGGCACACCATCAATACCCTCCTGTACAGCAGTATCATCACTATAGACCAGCTCCACCATATGATCATAGTCGCACTCCATGTGGACAGAACAACAACTACATGTTCCGCTCACGAGCTCCCCCAATAATTGGTGGAATCTCTCGTGATGTGACAGATAATCCTGAAGAGGGTGATAACCCATCATCACATGAGGATCTCAGAATCAATGCCTACGACAAGCTTTGTGAAATATTCCCTGATGAAGTTGAGAAAGTTCTCAAGATCCTTGATAAGTATCCAGATGAAACCAGCATTGAGAGTTTGACCCAGCACATGTTGGATGACATAGATGAGTAATCACATAAATTAACTAGTGTTACGGATCATAATGTTTATGAAAAAGAAACAGGCCAGGGAACTGACCGTAAATTTGGTGCACAATAGCTCGACACCAGGACAGAACATGTTTTTATTACACTTGATATTGTTAAGTTTAAGGTATATCAGGTACATTTGATGGTTTGGTACCTAGTGTGAGGGTGTGGTAATTTTGTTCATGAAGCTCTATCTAGTAAATTATTGACCAGAAATGTTTAGAATTTGTAGAGTGACATTTCTTCAAAGTTGTAGGGTTTAGTGGTTACAGCATGTCAACATTGCTGATTGAATTTGTCTTTTTGTTCTTCACAGACATCTACCAAATTTGGGATTGTGAATTTACTCAAAAATTTATTTCAAAATGGGAAAATTTTAGCCATGCTTCCTGTAGGCAAGTTAGAGAAAACTTTCTTTTTGTATCTTACCATAGTTTAATTTTGGGGATTTATTGTTTTAAATGATAAACCTGGCATTTATAGAGATTTCACATGTATACTACTGGAAATATTTGGAGGATATTTGTAAAAAGGTTTTCTAGTCTGTCATTTTATAAATGCCATTATTCCTTACATTTTTATGAGGTTTGATTGAAGTTTAACGAAAGTATTCGTGCAGGATAGCTGTTGAACTGGTAAGTTCATGCATTTTGATGTTGACATGCTAGTAATATTTTTAAACAGGGAAATTTTGTTATTAGGATAGGTCTAAAATACACACCCATTATAATTTTTACTACACAGTTAAAGTAGCAAAGGTAGAAAATGGCTAATATTAGGAACACTGGTTGGAATGAATGCCTACTTAGGTATGTTCAATGGTCTGTTGAGAAGACACGTTATGTTTTGTTTTTGTACTTTTAATTAATGTTTGAAGCATTCTACAAATTACTGTGTTCATCTTGCAAGAGTCAGTAATTAGGACTAAAAAACTTTGAAGAACTGTAGTCTGTCGGATGTTTCTGAAATTTGGTTCCAAATGAATTTATTTTAAGAACGTTCAGGACAACAGTTGGGTTTATTTTCATCAAACCATCTAAGGTTCTATTTTCCAGTCGGGAATAATTATACATTTCATTGGTAAGATGCCAAGGTTTTTTAGTCATTTTTCAGCCACTATTTTATACTGGGAAAATAAAGGAAGGTGTTTTTAGAGATGGAACATATTATTGATCAAATTTTTGGGGTCAGAACATGGTTTCTTGCTAGACAAGAGATCCTTGCTGGTCAAGCAGTTTTGTAGTACTCATTCTTAAATGGAAATATCTATTTACTCTGCATGAAATTGCCATCATCCTTGGCTACACCTTAAGGGAGCTATGTCAATTGTACATCAATGTGATGTCTGCAATCTGAATTAATCTTATACCATTCATGTTTTGTTTGATGTTTTTCGTTTTTTGATCCACTATTCTGAAGTTGAAAAGAACTATTTAAAAAATCATGACATTGCTCCCTTGATCACTATTTCATCTCAAAGAGTTGGCAACAATGAGGAATCACCAATAAGTAACAAGAATTACAGAACACATGCATGATACAAATTAGAAGGCTAGACTAGAAGTCATGTTCTTGAACATCTAACTTCAGAGTTCCTTTTAAGGAAAACAATAATTGGAGAATAAAACTAGTATGTAGTCAAGGTTTAGTGACTTCTGATCATAATTTGGTACCCTAGATTATTGTGATGGAGTAGAATTTGTAAGCAACAAAGTAAGTTTATGTATTTAAGGTTTTATTGGTAATGTACAGGTTTTCATCAGCTTTTCTCTGATGTTCAGCTTTTTGTAATATTTGCAATATGAGGTGATTTTGATATCATTTTTGTAGGTATGTTAGTATATTCCAGAGCTTAATGTTTGACTTCATGGTATTTGAACCCTGAAAATTGCCTCTGAAAATTGTGAATTATCATAAACCTAAAACTATTGAGGAATCTCTGAACACTTAGTGTTTACAATTACACAGACTGGAACTATTTTAATCTTAATCTTTTTATACAATTTTTTAAAAAAAAAAAAAGTTTGGTAAATGTGAAGAGTTCATTACAATTCAATACTTCCATTTAAGAAAATGTTGAACATGATTTCAGACAATAAGCTCACATCAGGAATGCTCTTTGTGAGAGTGTATAAAATTAGTTTACATTGGAACAACAACAATATTGTGGAATTAATGCCACTTGGTGTAGTTCTGTATATTAGCTGGCTGATGCTTTTTGTCAACCACATATTATACTGAGAAAAAAATGACATTTTTAAATGACATTAAAACATTGTTAAAATAGATATGGAGTGGTGATTTCTTTGTAGCTACTTACAGACCTAGTGGTAAATGTGCTGGGCTAGGGATTGGAGTCTTGGCCATTTTAGTGTGTCATGGTTGTGTAGGTAATAACATGATTTCAAGTGTAATTTGGTGTTAAAGAAGCACAAGTAAAGTTTACAAAGACAGCAAAATTGTACAAACCTGTAGGGTGAGTGCAATTTGTAGTCTTAGAAACATTTATAGTCAAGTGCTTATTTACAAAAAATTGCACTTGAAATTATATTATTGCTTATTAATAATTTACATGAAAAATGCATCACAGAAAGCCTAGACAGACTAAATTTTGACAGCATGCCCCACATATTTGTGATTTGCGTTTGTTACAACTTTGCCCAAGTGTTAAATGAAAAGTGCCCTTGTTTTCAGCCATTTACATTTTGACATTTACATAGTGCAGACTTCTATGTGGATATATTCAGTCGCGCTTAACAGTATCATAAGGTTGAGATCGGACGTCAGCATTTTTATCAGGCGCCTCTAGCAGCCGCTTCAGTCCATGTAGCGATCTCACCTTCCCACCCATCCCACCCCACCCCGGGGAGGACATCCACTACACAGTAATCTCGTGCATGGGAAATGTAAGTCCCCTACCCCTAACCCTGCAGGAGACGGAACCTACGGCTTTACGTCTTATCCGAGAAGACAAAGCAATGTGAGTGCAGCGTCTTGCTTAAGGACACAAGGTCATGCCCCAGCTAGGACTTGAACCCGGGTCAACCGACCCAGAGTCCAGCGCACTGACCACTGGACTACTCACGCCAATCAGAAGAACAATTTTTTCATGTGTTTTAATGACACCCTACCTCCAGTATGCATAATCTCCATACCTTTATCTATACATTCCCAAAAGTGCTGACAAGGAGAATTTGTTCAACAATCAAGAGCATCTTTAGTTGGACATCATTTTCCTCAATCTCGTGACCTTAATGTTTGTTCCAGGAGTGATGTTGAGTGGAGGAGCTAGATGCTTGTCCCTATCAGGAGTCAAAGGATCAAATGAAGGGAAAACTCTTCAGAGAACCTGTTGAAATGTGGCAGTTTAATGTTTTAATGGATTAGTGAAAAACGAAAGGACAAAAAGTTGAATTTTTGTGACCAGAGAAATCTTAGTATCGCAGTGAAATCTGTGTGAAGTGGAAAAAAAAAAACAGAAGACCTCTTCTGGTATCTTCTTGATATCATGGCGTCCATCTAATAGTGCAAGTTTGGGTAAACTGCACATTGATAACAAGCCTTATTTTTCCATCTGTTACCCTGTCTGTGTATTATTAACTACACCATTGTTTTTAGATTCTTCTTGTGTGTGCCTTGTCAATGAGCTAGATTACTTAAAAGAAATTTTATTGCAACTATGGTAGGATACCAAGGAAGGTCTTTTCAGTCATTGTAGTCTGTGGCTCAATATGCCTACTTGACAAATCTGGCTCTATTACTTTGCATAATATTTATGAACATGAACCAAATGTAATCATAATTGTGTGTAGTTTTTCTAAAAACATTTTAAACTTAACTAAAAAAGCACTTGAAGGTTCTAAGTAAAGGTATTGGGTTTCAGAAGGGCTTAATTTTTGTGTCTATATTTGCATTATGGAAGAGTTTGCCAAATGCAGGTTACTTAATATACATTTAACACAGAAAGACAAAATCAGCACTTAATTTGCTCTCTGCTATTGGCCCATTATATGAGGTCTGCTTAAAACAGACTTTACAATACATTGTACATCTCTACATACAAAACTATTGGACATTCCTGTGTGACTTGGTCTTTGCCCTAGGGGAAATGTGGTTATTGACTAAGAGACAATATTTTACCTATTCATCATGATACTAAAGGATGATTTCCCTTGAATTTGTCACAGGAGGGGTGGGGAAGGAGATAGTCATGTTCTAGCAAATACCGGTATGCATAATGTACCAAGCTGGATGGTGGCCTCAAATTTATTTTTAAAAAATTAAAATTAATACAGAAACATATCAAATGACAATAATAATAATAATAATAATAATAATAATAATAATAGTAATAATAATAATAAAGAACTGTGTAGGATGCGGCTATTTATCTGACTGAACTTTTTGTGCTTGTCTTTTCTTGACTTCCCAGTTGTACACTCTAGCCATGTCTATATACAGGTCAAGGAATAAGACTTCACATTGACAAGATTCAAATCAATTGGCACACTCAAGAACTCAAATAAACATTACAGCCAGGCCAGCCAAAGTAGCATATCACTGGCATTTCAAGCAAGTGAAAGCCAGCACATGCAGAGTGTGAGTCTTCTCCTCACACAAAACTCACCTTTTGTATTTGCCTTGTCAGATGCCAAAACAATATGCCTGTTCTCCAGGCTAGGGTAAGAGGACAAATTTTGCCTTCTTTTCTTATGGAAAGATCACCTCAGGTAATGATGAACTGAGACTTCTCCTTGGTTTCTGTTCATACGAGAAATTTCAGCTTGATTATAGAGATGAACAAGGGATCACCTCTCAAGTTCCATTCGAATAACATGGCAGGCATGCTTTTCTAGAAAATACTTCAGCCCAAAATCCCAGATCTCAGTTCACAAGCTGGGATCTAAGTAACCAGGATGGGTAGCCATTTAACATATAAACAATAATGGGACTTTCCACAAATGAGAGAGCTGGTGGGACAAGATTGGAAACCAAGGAGGTCCTGCTTAAAGGATTCACATAAAAAGGCCCAAAGCACTGGGCTCTTCTAAAAAATAGAAGCTTCATGTATGTTGTTGAAACAGTTGCTGCTATCCATTTGCAAAACTTGCACTTCTTCTAGTGAAATCAGCACTGTATTCTGCACTTTCGTTGATTGGTTCAGCAACTCATGCATTCACTGGGTGCAATATGAAACCTAATGGACCCCGCTTGAGTACAACTGGTTACAGCCCCACAAGAAAATGATAATTTGAAAATCCAGTCTCTCTCAAAAGTGTAGATCTTGTCAAGTTTGGATGCTAACTCTATAATGTTTAAGCCCTAAAACAGGTAAGCTCTATCCACAAAAAAATGGGAGGTTCAGATTTGAATGAACTACACACTTACATATACCCTACCTGATACATAATGTACCACTATAAAAACATACATTTACATTATGTAGTACAGCCATTGTTTTTTGAAGGATACTGACTTCAGTTGTAGTATACTGATCTCTCAGAAATCCCAAGTCATCTTCAATATCCTTCAAGTTTTTCTCTGCAGTATTCAGGTTTTTTGACAGCAAAGCTCCAGCTTCCTCAATGCTATACTCTAACATAACGTTTGCCTAACCAAACAATTATCAACAAAGCTTTAAATATTTTATGATGCACTCTGACCTACAATCAACTTCATTCTTGAATAGAGTATAAAATGTTTTACAATTTAATTTCTAGATCTCATGCAAAAGCAAGGAAATCTAGTGACATGAATAAATTAAACATCAAGGGAGACTGACACAGTACCATTATTGCTAACAATTATTGCATGGGACATTTAGAGCTTAGGCTGATTGCAAATTTGAACAAATGTATGTGTGACATCACTAAATGGTAAGTGTGACCACTTAAGTTGCAGGAATTGAGGTATTATTCTGATGACTCAGACAACAAGACTTGTGTCAAAGCAATGACAAAAGCAGGTCTTGTGCAATGAATGCAAGTAACAATATTATTGCACTATTTCTATATTACTCCATCAATACCAGGGCTGATTAACATGTAAGTTCTCCCTGTAATGTTCCATACATCACCCAGCCAACAGGTAATGGGAATTAATACTTAACATTATTACATGACTCGGGCAGTCAGAGGGCCAATAACTAAAATAAACCAATCAAAATGCTCTATTGCCGGTCCAATATTCTCTAAGTATTGGATGGGGCACCGTTCCGAATGGTCCCGAATGATACCGCACTTGTATCCCTTTGAACGTCAGTCGTATAATAAATCTCTTCTTAACCAAGCTTGCTTGGGACCGTACTGGAAGAATATTGGTCCTCGGTCTTTTTTGTACGGACCTCGCTGTGCTCGGTCCGTACTGTCAAGAGCTCGGGCCGATATTCTCTCAGTACGGCCGTGGCAATTGGTTAATAAGATATATTTATTAGGTAAATGTTGTCATCTTGATCTAACACCAAATTCCTGTAACTAGTTTACAAGGAAATGTGTAACAGCTACAAAGGAGAATTAACAGTGACTGTCATATCGTGGGAGATAAGGTTAATCACCCAAAAAAAAGTGCACCCCCGTCAACTGTAATGGTGTGGTCCACATATGCTGCTTTCACATCACAGGATAATTAAATTATGGAATAGGTGCAAGTATACCTGAACTATAGGACAGATTGGGCTCACCCTAGACAGAGTGTAGACCAGTACCACCTGTCAAGCCCTAATATAGAAAACCTTAAGGCTAACAGAGAAGAGAAAGAACAGCTGCAAATAGAGCCAAATTACCGGTTAACCTGGGAAAAGTTACAAAGACAGCTTGAGGCTGTAAGCCAAGGACCTATTGCCAATGAAACCAAAAGAAATAAATCAAATAACACCTTACCCCAAGCCACAACATTACTTTTTCTGTTGGTGGAACTTCTGCAGTGCAATAAACCTGATCAGACAACAAAAATCTGCTCTGAAGGGGCTTGGAACTATCCTTTGAATTAAAATCACAACATCAACTTCAGAAACAAATGAACATGATTGGAATGCCCCTCTATTACAATTAATTATGATTCTAAACTTTGAATGTTGTCCTCAAGGGATTCAAATATCACATATGATGTTGCTACATGGCATAGCAATCTGTCTGCATGTTACCATGTCTACTTGTTAAAAAGCTTCACCATCAATGCAAACTGCCAAGCCATGAAAATATGAATCACGGAAATTAATGTGAAAAGCTGGAAGAATTACACTGTAAACAAAATTTAAAAAAATTCTTGTTACTTGCTTTCCAATGCTTAACCTGCTTTACTGAGTTAACTTGATTTAATCGCAGTTTACTAAAATACCTTTTTCGATGTTAATAATTTGACCATCTCCAGACTTGAATTTAAATCTGGAACTTGGGATTGTAATCTGCAATTTACAAGATATCCCAATGCTGTAAATGATAATGTAACTTCTTCTTTCACACATCTTGGGCTCCTGTTGTAGAGTTGCCCATAACCCTTTTACCATCAAAGAATCCAACAAGTTAACTACCCTTACGATATCAATACATAATTAACCAGACAGTTAAAGAGAATAAGTTGCTTTGTAAAGGTCGGCACACACACGATGGGACTAGTCCCTGCGACTAGTCCGTGCGACTAGTCCCGGCGAGAAGTCTTTGAAGGGTTTACACGAGGGGACCGGTAGCAGGGACTAGTCCCTTAAGGCATTCACACAAGGGCACTCAATTGCACAAGAACATAGGAAAATTAAGAGGCAAAAGATGTTTCTTAGTCTGGGGTGTTACACGAAAACAATGAAAATTTGGTAACTTTTCATTGTAGCACTATTAACCATCAACGCAAATGAACTACACTTATTCAGTCGGATAATTCATGCTTTTACATACAAACATACATATACTTTATTCAATCTCAAATTTGGAGTAGCTAAAGGATAAGCTAGTATCTTCGAGTTACAAGTATAATTCTAAATACTACTAAAATGTAAAATGTAAAATTGTAACATTCTGAAATTTAACTATGAGAAAGAGTCATACTGTAGAATCTTGCACTTGAAATCAGAAAAGTCAGACGTTCTAAAAGAGTCCGGAAGAGAGTTCCATAGTTTTGAAGCCATATATGAAAAGGAGTGAAGACCATAAGTAGTAGTTTTTGTAGACGGTAGAGACAAAATATAATTTCTGCGTAGATTATAGGATACAGACCGGAAACTAAACATATTCCTTAGATAGCCTGGAGAGCAGTTAAAAAACAAGCTCTTGTACAATATAATTAAGAAAGTCTGAAGGCATCTTTTATACCGAGATTTGGAGTTAACTTTGCTAAGTAGAGAGTCATAGGGAGAATTATAATCCTGCAAGATAACTCTAAGAATTCGCTTGTTTAAACCTGTTCCATTTTTGTTTTTTTTTTATTATTATTACTTTTAACAGACACAGAGTCAAATAGGGTAAAAATTCCATCAAAACGGCTCCAAGACATCTGTATATGTTTACAAAACTAGAAATAGTTTTTTATTCTTCAGTTGTAGAAATAAAAAATTCAGGGAAAATTAATTGAAACTGCAATTTTTACAAATCATACTGACCCGTGATTGGCTTATTTACCGTTTAGTCGCAGGGACTGGTCGCACAAACAGTTCACACGAAGGGACAAACATTTGTTTCATGCAACAAGTCCCTGCGACCAGTTGCAGGGACCAAATTTTGGTCCCTGTGACAAAGAAATGTGTAGTTCACACAAAGGGACTAGTCGCATGAAACTGGTCGCTGGGACTAGTTGCAGGGACTAGTCCCCTCGTGTGTGCCAACCTTAATTGTTTGAGCACCCACTGGGCTGAGAGAACTATGAAGCAACACACAAAATATGAACAAAATGTCTTCTGATATCGTATGTTAAGCCATAGAATAAGGGATTTGTTATTCCTCTATTGGTTGACTTTCTATAATTTGGGCTACTGGTTTTTGTAAATACTTCCTACAGCTTTATCTGAGCTTTGTATCAATCACATGCATGGAAGACAAAACAACAAAAAAGGAAACAATAAAATTGTTCTATGTGACTAACAAAAAAACTCTGCTGGGTTTAAAAGTTTGTTGCTCAAAAGAATAATAAAGTTAAATATAATCTAGCGGATACTGCTAAATTGAAAAACAAATTCTCAGCACCAAGATCATGACAAATTTAAGTATTGAAGATGTTAGGTTTACTGTAAACACCAACAGATATAATTTTAGCTGATATAGTATGAAAATCATATCTAACAGCTTAGAAGTATGTTTGACTTTACTCTGGTATTGTTTAACCAGTATTTTTTTCATCCCTATCAGATTTTCAACAGAATTTTATGCACAACTACTGAAATCTTCAGTTTGTTCATACCTGGGTTTGGGTTATTCATAGTTTAGTAGCCAGGCATTTAATCAGAGGAAGGGGTACTGGACACAATTTTCATTGTTATTTTATTTTATTTAAAAATTTGCCAAAGGCAGGTACATTTACAATAGGACAAGGTTGTTCCCTAGTAGGTAAATTACCTTACCCTATCCCCTAAAAGAAGACAAATTTGAAACCCAACCCAGTTACAAGCCCCCACGCTAAAAAAAAAAAATAATAATAATTGGTTAACACATACAAGAAGCTTTTGAAGCATTAATTTTCATTACAGTACAATACACAGCAAGGTGTATTAATGCAAAAAGACATTTACTTCCTAACAAAAATATCACCATTAAGGACACAGTAAACAGGTTTATGGTGGAATGGAGATTTCTTGCAAGTGATGATAAGCTGTTCATGGGAGTGACTTTACACTGGTTATTTAATGAAAAGGTTCAACACCACTTAAAAGCAAGAAATAGTAGTAAACTTGTGCTAATAAACCAATGAGGGAGCCACCAACTTGCAAAAGCAATGACCAACATGTAACCTGATTTATTGCATTGTTCGCAGTGCCCATGGGCAAGATGAAGCGTATTCTGTGTTCTGATTGGCTACCTGAGTAGGCAAGATGGGCCCATTTTGCCTACTCAGGATTGCCCACATTGATCCAGCACATAAAAATACAGAATTGGACTATGTTCATAATTCTTGGACAATTTTGGCAATAGAAACGCAAAAAGTGGAAGAAGATAGTCAAAACAAAGAAAACAGAAATGACTCCTTGACTTCCAAAAAATGCAAAAAAAGAACCCAGCGAATTTCCAGCTATCTTGACCTCACACTTGGTTAATAACAGACACACACACATATATATATATATGTATATATATATTATTATGAAGTTATTATTAGTTTGCCTCGGACACATATCAATTTTTGGTGAATAGCATTAATTTATGCAAATTTAAGGCATGCTTTCCATAATTATGTTTTTGTAGATAAGCTCCACACTTGATTTGTTACAAAAATTTTGGAATGAAAAAGTGCAGCTTATAAGCAGGTGTTTCCAGTTATCAGTTGGGAAACTGGTGGGTGGAAGAGTTAACTGATAAAAATAAACATTGTTGAGCATCAAGCTCAAGCCAAAAGACTGGCGGATGTGGAGGGAACATGTTACTGCCCTACATGCCACTTAGGGGTAAAGGGCAAATGTAAGACATTATCTATCATGAAATGTTCTATCATCTTCTCTATCAGAGAAGAAAAATGTACTCATTTTCCAAATAGCAACTAATAGTCAGGTCTGCCTTTTCTCTTAGTACAAGACTCCCTTCAGCTGCTCACCATATAGAGACCCACAGACTCAAACCCAGTTAACTCAAGCCTCTTGCTGACAAGATCCAATTTCCCTTGGATTTAACCCCATGTTTCCAGTCATTTAGTATCAGCTAACTCAAACTCCCCGGTAACTCAATTAAATCCAACTTTTTTCAAATCAAATTAACCCTGATAACTCAAACAAAAACATTGTTCAATAAACATCAAAGTGTCACAACATAACTGATTGACCTATTCCAACCTTACTTAGCAATTGATAACATTTATAATGACTTAATACATTTAGCTAAACTTCCCAAACTAAACATTCTGATAAAAAAAGCTCTTATAATACAAAATGAATATACAAATGGCAAAAACATGATTCCTTATAAATTGTTAACAGAATAATTGAAATTCCAGATAACTCGTACCCTCACCAACATGAACAACTTTTTGTTTCCCTTTAGAGTAATAGTATACAAAGCATTAACCTACAATTCAACCTCATACTATTGATAAAAATAACACTTGGCATAATTTGACAAACCACAACCAACTACCTCCCAAAATAACAAACCTAATTTTCTTAAAATATCATGGAGTCAAGTTCCCACATACCTCCCTCACCTTCCTTACCACAAACCCTTTACATATTAATCAAGTTATGGAATCACCCTCCCTGGGGTGTAGGATTTTACAGCATGTGGGAGGGGGTGTGAGTACTTAAACAAATTCCTTGATTCTCAAGTTATAACTTCTTAAACATTGATAGTCAAACTCGGTGGTGGAAATTAAGATGCATGATGACTTATGTAGCCAAAAGTGCATGGAAGTGCCATTTGTTGGAAAGGTTAAATATACAGTTTCCTTCTTTTTCAGGAATAACAGACAAAATTGTGAAGACCTATCAAATTTCTCAATATGCCCTTGAGTGGGGGGGGGTTTAGAACACTGCTTAGGCCCTGAAGGATGGGAATTTCCGCAACCAAAAGTAAAAAAGGTTGGAATACCTAGGAAGTAACCCAAAGGGAAATTTTAAATCTACCGTGGAATTAAAAAATGTTCAAAGTCAAGTATTTATACCTTTTCTTTCTCGCCAACAAATTCAGTTCCATAAATTTATACTTCTGGTGTTGCTCATCTAAATCTTTAAGAACAGTCTCTGCAGTTTCCTTTCCGCTCTTTTTCATGAAATCGTCTACATCCTCCTACATCCCAAGAATAAGAACTGGTTTAGTTTTGTTTGTTTGGAGATTGGTAGAGACGAAAATTCCCTACCAAACTGTGCGCTAATGGAGGGAATTTCCCGGTACATGCAACACACTCTATCATCAAATATGGAGGACATGATTGCAAGGGGAAAAATTCTCACAAGAAAGAGTGCCTCTGGAATTCCCCGGTGTTTCTTGGTGTCATTATTCTCTGAAGTTTTAACCAACTTCTCTTCTTCAGATTTCTTCTCCTCGGACGCCATTTCAAAGCAATGTATTTGCAACCAGGCCTCCCCAATACTTCTAGAGCCCGCAAAAATAAACGGTTACCTAAATCACCAAGCATGCGTACAAAATAAGGTTTTTATGAAAACATGCAGATTTCTTAGATAAGAGCGGAAGTCGACGAAAATAGCATCGTGATACCTCTTTGTTGCCTTTTACCTTACTCTCAGCCTGCTTTCAGCTAAATAGAAATCAGAAGGGACCTTGTGGCAGTGTTTGCTTCACGTTCGATACGTGGGAAGGTTCTAAGGCTTCTTCAAAAAAGCGTTGAAATACAATAGCAACTTTCTACCATCATCAATCGGCAAGACGGGAAGTCAATCCAATAGAAGCGACTTTCCTCGAGTACTATTTACATCTGATACTATTGATCTACAAAGACTGTTCGCCACGAGAGAGAATTTCTGTCTTTAGGAAATATGCAGAGGCGAGATGAGACTCAAGACTTGCCGTCAATGGAAGCGGAAAGCATGAACTCACAAATGTCTTGCACTTCATCTGAATTCAGTGATCGAGGTAACAGCTTTAATGGCTTTGATCAGTATTCGCATCACGTAATCAATGCCAACAAGTCTGATATGCTTAATCAAGAACTGGAATTAAACAGCTATCAAAAGAGATTAGAGACCTTTCTACGATGGCCATCCAGCAGCCCTGTAAATCCCGCCGATTTGGCCGCAGCTGGGTTCTACAGTCTTAATTTAGACGATCGAGTTGCGTGTTTCAGGTGCAATTTGCACTTACGGCAGTGGAACGTAGGAGATGATCCGTGGATGGAACACAAACGAATTCGACCTGCTTGTCCTTTTATCATGGAACACGAAAATGCGAACGGTTACGTAGTGACCTGTAACCCTGTAGAAGCTTCAATTGGTGTTCAAGAGCCAGGCCATCCTCCGTTTCCAACAGCAACGCACGTAAGATATGGAGGTCGCGTGTACCTTACGGAAAGAGATCCCCCAGTAAATCGTGAAAGGTTGATATATCCAGAAAGGCCACAGTATATTACCTACGGGGGTATGTATGATACTCACGAGCAGCATTACCCCACGGATACTCGAACCGGTTTCCCGCAGGGTTATTACGATCCCGGAAGAAGACCACAAGAGTTTCTCGGAAAAGATCCTACACCTGTTGACTTTCAACGCCGCCCAGAACACGAGTTAAACGGAACAGAAAGAAATCGGCATGTTGTGGTGAGACAGGGAGCCAACCAGATTCACATAGTTGGATCGGCAGTCCATCAGCTTAACCCAGAGGACAAACTTAACATACAAAGTGGAGGGCATGGCTTCCCCCCGCAAATTAGGACTGAGAGAGATTTAAGACAAGTATACCCAGGGCTTCAACAATCAGGCCGAGTGCCACCCCCAACGGAGACAAGCTTCACAGGTTCGCATCCTTTTTCCAGAGACCCTTACCGGTACATTTCAGAGGATCAGAGATCAGGCATGAACCAGTTTGAACAATCCATCAAATCTCATCCACCGAGCCATGCTGGCACGTTTCCAGGTTATCAGCGTTCAGAAAGTGTAACGAATGAAAGTACGGCGATGTTCCATAAAGGAAGCGCAAGTGAAAAGTATATGGTGCAACTGGAATGGGAAGGCGACAAAATGGAATATGGCAGGGATCCTTCGCGCGATACAAGAGCACCAAAACAGCTGTACATGCCAGAGAGGAAGGTATCAAACGAGGGCGAACCTCATCCTCATACTGGAAGCAAATCCGATAAGGATGTTGTCGAGACTAGACCTACTCAACCACCTCAAGATAGAAATAGTTGGCAGCCGGTTCGCAATGCCTCTGGCCCAAGAAGGCAATCCCAAGGGTATCATCCAGCTTTTCCAGTCAAAGACCCAAGCCTCCAGACTGAACAGCGGCCGTTGGTAAGACAGGAAGATGCTCGACATGTTGCGTCACCATCTGACTTACCCAACGAGCATCATCGTCTAACGACATTTGTGGATTGGCCGCATGATCACCATATTCGTCCGTGGGATCTTTCGGCTGCCGGGTTCTATTACTTGGGTACTGGCGATTCCGTCAAGTGCTATAAATGCGGTATCATGCTGCACAACTGGGAACCCAGTGACACTCCTTGGGGGGAGCATCAGAAGTGGTCTACGCAGTGTCCTTTAGTACTAGAGCACTTTAGAGGACGTCCTCATGTACCTACTCCAAGCACGCCAGCCGAACATGCCGTACAGCGTGTTTCTCCGGTGCAAAATGAACTTCAGGGTTGGCGTCCTGTAAAGAGTCTGAGCGGACAAGATGTACACTCGCCGATAAGAGGTGGCAACACCCCGCCTCTTCCCGGAACTTGGAGCACCTCTGAGCAATACCCAGCACGCACCATGCCTAGTTCAGCCAATGGGTGGAATCCTTCAACGGAACAGCATTATACACAGTGGCAAACTCAACCATTCACAGCTTCATCGCATGAAAGTCATGTAGCCAGCGAGAGTCAGACCCGGCTAACTGGAGGATCAAGTTCAAGCACACCAAACGAAACAAAGCAGGAACCACGGTCTTGTTCTCCTAGAGGTAGCACTGCCATGGAACTTGACATGGAGAAATTGGGAGAGATGGGTTTCACCCAACACGACATACAAGAGGCAGTTGCCGCTAAACTTGAATCCACAGGATCCAATTTCAACACGTTTCCTGAGCTCGTCTCAGCTCTACTAGAGAGGCAGCACACAGGAGTACCCACCTTTGGATCCTGTGCGCAGCCCACGCCACAAGAAGGTGAAGAGCGGCCTCCTCGTCCCCATCTCGACATTCCCGAGAGAGAACCCAGCCCTCGAGAGGATGAAGGTCTCCGAGAGAGAAACTGTTTGAGTGCTGTTACGTCTCCCACTACTCCAGTCCCTCGCAGGGACAGTCTACGAAGAACCCTTAGTGCGCCTGCATCAAGATCATCGGAAACCGAAGAGTCCCTTGAGGAGAAACTGGAGCGAATGCAAGAAGAGCGCACGTGCAAGATCTGCATGGACGCTGAAGTGGGAATGGTTTTCTTGCCCTGCGGCCATTTGAGCTGCTGTCCTGATTGTGCACGTGGCATGGACGTCTGTCCTATGTGCCGTAGACCGATACAAGAAAGGATTCGTACGTATCTATCTTAAAACGGCTGTTTTCGTAGACGGTCGATCTCACCGAGGCTCGTACACCTTTTAAACTTTGAGATAGAGACAGTTCGGAAGAGCTTTTCTTTTACGTCGTTGTAGATTCTAAGGAGGAACTTTCTTAGCCACTTATATCCAAGTCTAAAGCTTACTCGCGTGAACACAGTGTGGTACAATATTGTTTCTCTTTAGGTTAGCTGTGCAGCTTGCAACAACTAAAAGTTGCCCCCGTGTGCAATAACTCTTGTCACAGCAAATTCTCGTCGTCATATCAGTAGCTTAGCCCTAACTTTTACAGTCGATTCTTTCACAGGAAATATTTACTTGTTCAGTTATTCATACTAGTGAAACAGCATTTTATTGCATGGGGTCCTTCTGATGTGAGAGGGACTGGAAAGCAAACCATACTGCATGCAATCTAGTGTCCAACGCAGCCGTTGTTTAGTCCTCTCCCGAAGAGGAAGTAGAGAGCGCGTAACGCCACGAAACCAAATAAGGGCTGCGAATAAGAATTCAAATGACGTCGCGAAACCAAATATGGGCTGCAAATGAGAATTCAAATGTGTGTTTTGACCCATAGTTGCTGTGTAGGAATGCACTATGCTTGAAAACTAGCAGCAGTTTCATTTTTTTATAAATTGGTCAAATTTTGTTTAATACGTTGACCAATCATGAGGGGCAGTGTAGACTGTAGTACGCACTTATTTATGTTGTTTCAGTAGAACGGCAACTCTTGCTTTTGAGTGTTTGAAAATAGAGAGCTAAAACAACCGTGTGGAAAGAAATTAATCCTTGGAAAAGTTTTTTGGAACAATGTTGTCGAGGGAGGCAGGGAGAGGAAAGTTATCTCGGGGAGATCACAACAGAGTGGAACTGTGTCAGTCCACTCTCGGATAAGAGGCTTGGGACCATCGTTCACTCGCTCTGTTTTGGTCAAAGCTAATTCTCCCGCTCGAAACTTAGCGAACGAAAATTTCCGTTTTTCCCAATGCTGGTCGAACCTTTCGGATACTCTACTACAGAAATACGATTCAATTAAGTTAACGTGTTTGTCTTTTTTCAACGAAGATCTCGTCTTAACTTTGATTCGGGATGAACCGCAGGATAAATTAAGACTTTGGTTTGTCTGCACTTTAAAAGTTAGCTTTCTGTCAATCCATTTCCAAGCTGCCCAAAGCCTCTACTTTAAACGAGAGTAATTGCAAAGCCACCAAATTGAAAATCAAATTTCTGTTTGCCTATGTATACAAAACATTACTATACGACTGATTTTGAGTTTAGCCTCGCTTCGAAGGTGAGGGCAATAGCTTATCTGTCCGTTACTTCTTTCAGGCAGGCTTTCAGAGACCTGCTGTACCACTGAGTGACTACAGGAAATTTATCTTCCCTCCTACCATCCTTTGCTCTGCGCTTTTGAACCAGGACGCAAAGGTTACACCTTGGACTGAAGTGGAGCAGATTTCTTCCCAAGGATCTTACGCATACACTGGCGCATGAAAACCTTGGATGTTGCACTTGCTTTTCTGGAAAGAACCACTTCATGTGCTTCACACAACATATCATCCTCCAAAGCGTGGCAAGTCTTGGCACGCCTTACTCCTTTTTCATTTTTTCGCTATAATTTTGATTTATCTCACCCTCTCCACCATTTCAGTGTTGCCTAGTGTTAGAAAAATTCTTACTAATTTTTTGCGACAATGTTAAGGCACGACAGATGAATTATGAGATTTCTTGTCTCTATTGTTGAGTGGAGAATTGTCGACCGTCTATTAAAAGGGAGGTGTGCCAGGTAACTTTGCCACTTATTGTACTTACGCAGTTTTCTCGCAAAAAAAAAAATACGACCGCCAAGGCAAATCTTACCTTAGAGAATGTTGGCTCAGTGAAAAGGATTCTATCAATCTGTAAGGGTAACTCAAATAAGATCTACTTTGACGTTTTCAGGAAAATTCGCAACTATTCAAAATCTGTACGCACCCAAATCAAACAACAACAGAGGAGCATGTAAACCTTCTTAATCAAGAAACAATGACTTTAGACACAATTGGAACACGCAAGTCTATGCCCGTCTTAGACATCACAACGGCGATGAGATAATTGGGTTATTCACCGTTTACCACTAAGTTAACTGTCAATTTGAAAATAAATAAAAATATATATTTCCCGTGTTTTGCCTTTTTCAAACCACTACAATATATGTACAACTTAGAAAACTTTTCTGAATTGTCGCCACTTGTGAATCGAACACTATAGGTCTAGATTTCCTCTTGGTAATTTTAAAATATCTCAAAATAAAATTGATAAGATATTAGAACATAACCAAAGTAAAGTGCGCGCTCTGATTGGTCAATTCAGCGTTCACCATTTGCCCATGGGCGTATGCTGCTGACGTGAGCAAATGCAAAGACTAGTTTTCCGCGCGCGCTTGTTATTTCTGGTCACGTAACACTTGTTAAATAACAGAAAACTCTTTTGCTACAATGTATCAATGTTATGTTATATAACAAATGGTAAACACCACAACGTACACTAATGAGTTATGGATGCAAGCGGGAGGTTGCTAAGCACGAAACAAGCGTAAGAGTCGTGCGAGGCGATAGCCAAGAGCGACACTAGCTTCTCGAGTGCTTAGCAAACCTCACAAGTGCATCCATAACTCAATAGTGTACACTGTGGCGTTTACCATTATTAAATAGTGGATTTCGGTTAAGTTGAAAGCTAAAATTTCAAACATCACGCAATTATTAAGTTGTACCACGCGTGATTTCTTTTCTCTTTTTTTTTTTAAGCATAATTGTGCAGCGCGATAGTGTGCTGAAGGAAAGGAATGCTTTTCTGGTTTCCTGCCCCCAAGCTTTCATACTGTCATCAGAGGAAGGGTAGGCTGGCAGATGTTTTCTTAACTCCTTCCCAGCTCCTCTTAGTTTTCCCATGGTGCGAAAGCGCGGGCTAATATGAAGCTGGTCGGTGATATGAACCGCTGTAAATGGTATGTTCAGCGGCGAATTGACATGTACCTGCACATGCAGAATCTGCGCATGTTTTTTTTTTTTACTTTATCAAAGAAGTTTCTATTTGACGCAAAGAAAACCTTTGACACTCCTAAGAAACAAGTCCAGACTTTTCCTGAATTGCATCTTGTTGAGTCTGTCCAGTGATAACTTCATGTTGCTCGGAGTTAGTTGATTGAAGGCGTCTAAAAGTCGCTGACCTAAAACTTGGTCCGTCTGTTGCGCCAAAAGGCTACGCACCAACTCGGTATAATACATCTGAACAGTAAAGAGAATGGAAATGATATGATATGACGGCACTGGTATTCGAATCCTACCTTAGAGTGCTAATGGTATCTTTCACGAGTGAGCGTAGCGAACATTTAGCGCGAGAAGGAAAAAAATCAATTACCGGTGGCAATGAAGGGATCACCCGCAGGTAAGCTGCAACTATGGAGATATTTCAAAGTTCTGACATGGCGATAGCGCATTTTCTCTTACCGAAAAAAACTTTTTTAACACTCTTGAACTCGATACCGGAAAAGCTGGTAAAGCAAAGAAGCCTTAAATCGAGCTAAAAAAACGCCGTGTTGATTTGACGACATTAATATCTTTACATGTGAGAGACATAGGACCTCCACGGCGCGCGGTGAAGATACTATATTCTAAAGACAAATCTTGGCACAAAACGCATTATTGCAAGATGAAATGTGTTTGAAATTGAAGTTAAAAAAGAAGATCAAGAATAGCCAACACTAAAAGGACTTCAAAATCACCTGATGACAACAAATCAAAGCAAGAAAGGCTTCCGCTGCTGGTTGAAGCAAATCCATGTCAAATGACTTTAGAAGAAGCATATCAAACAGAGTCTGTCCAAAAATAAACAAGGATGAATTAATACACTGACAAGTTGAAAGAGCTGTGCGACGGTTGAAGCGATTCACAGTGACACATGCATATGACAGCACGAGGTGCAACAGTCGAGGACTTACTGTTGGGAAATTGTCAAGGTTTAAAACAACTTGACTGGCATGAGCTTAGAGAAGAAGGAGAAGAAAATAACTGAGAATGCTACTGAAAAAAGGATATGAAAATGCTAAAACATTTAACAAGGAGTAAGGAAGGAAACTTGTCGCCTCGAGTGCCTTTCACTCACATGGAAATTCCCTTGTAACTTCTTTTAACAAAATCGATAAATTATCAAGCAAATAGATGGCGAGAATTGAAAAATTTATCAGCTAGGGGGGGGGGCGGGGCTGGTGTTATCTTGATATGACAAAGGATTCTCTTTAACCCTTTAACTCCCAGGAGTGATTGACATGTAACCTCTCCCTTCAACATCCACACATTATCCAACAAATAGGTAATGAGAATACTCAAACTTAACAGGTAGAAGTAGTTCTCTTGATCTAACACCAAATTCTACAAATTCTAGCTGCTACACATGTATAGCAGCTAGAAGGGAGAAACAAAAATCAGATGCTGGGAGTTAGAGGGTTATATAGTCCACAAGAGTATCTATAGCAGTTGCAGAGATTAACCGGAAGTCAGATCTTGAAGGTGCCGGCACATTTTAAACAAAGGCTGACCAACACTCCGTGTCACCGTCATAAACTACCACCATGCAGTACCTTCAAGAAATGCTGAAGAACCTCGTGAATGGGTACCCTCACATTTTTCTGCGTCTCGTCAAAGCAGTAGGTTGCTAACGAAGAAAGAGCCTCTAAGGACATTTTTGTGACATCGGCACCGTAACTGGATAAACAGTCAAGGAACAACAATCGGAAGAGTTGTAAACTAGTACCTTATTCAGGAGAAGTGGCAATACTCCTTCCGACGTCAAACTAAATTAAACCGGAATAAGCCCCAGAAGTGATTACCAGTAAGCTCGTGACCTTATTAGTAGAGAAGGATACTTTGTCAGTCCCACTTCTAATGAAGCCATGAGGCTCTTGAACAGCTCCTCTGGCAGAACAGACATCTTTTCAGGGTACATTTCGCACACATAGGTCGTCAGCTTGAAAAACTCTGTACACAGTATTGGAAACTGAAACAGTAAAGTTCGTCAGAAGTTTCCAACTCATGTTCACTGACAGACTGACAGAGTGGTTGGTAACTTTTCAAAGACATTAATTCGCACATCTCCCGTTAGACACAGATCTCAAAACTTGTTACCCGATTAAAGGCCGGCTTCATACAAACGCCTGAGCAAACCTGCCAATTTACAAAAAATGCCGGTAGCGTTAAATTGACGCCTTCGTGTTTGATCGAGGTTCCAGCCGTTATTGAAGTCAAGCTAATTAGTAACAGAACGCTATTGGGTAGCTTTAAAACTTATTGTCTTAATTGCGTGATTGATTATAAAGGGAGTCAATCTGGAAAAAGGCAGGAGATCGCAAAGCAAAGGAACTTACCTCGAGAACCTCTGGGGACATTAGAGGTATGATAACATGAAGACCATAGAACGCCAAGTCAGACGGTGTCACTTTCTGGTCTTCACCTGTCGATAAAGCAGATGGTTTGAATGTCATAACGCACCATATTTGGAAGCCTTGAGTGACCAGTCATTCAGTATTAACGCTTGAGGGGGGGGAGATGAATTTGAAAGGGATCACATGGAGGGAGGGTCAGTCAAGCCAACAGATTAAATCGACTTTATTCAACCTTTATTAAAAAAATTTTAGTCCTGCAAAGGGTTTGCCATCACGCAAGACATCTAAATAAATTGGGAAATTTCATTAAAAGGTAAAACGGAAAAAAAAAATTACACAGCATCAGTTATACACAATATCAAAAAGTTAACATTAAATAAAATACTCAAATAAGGCCTTCTTAAAAAGATCTGCAGACTTAATATTAAAAAAATAGTTCGGTAATGCGTTCCAGTCCTTCACAGCTCTAGAAAAAAAGCTATTTCTATAAGTCTCGGTATGTGGCTGTAGTTCGATAAACTTGTTCTGAGAGTTTCTTAAATGTCTGCCACGTTTCATAAGATAGTTTGGAAGGGCCAGGCCGCCATCACTATGAATTGCTTGGTGGAATAAGGTCAGCCGCGAGATTGTTCTTCGTACCTCCAAGGGTATCCAGTTTAATTCATTCTATAAATCTGTGACTGTTCCTGGTTCCCGAGTGTAGCAGTTTTTAACGAAGCGCGCGGCTCTTCTTTGCACCCCCTCAATCTGTTTGACATGTTTCTTTAGGTGTGGGTCCCAAACCGAGCTGGCGTATTCCACGTGAGGCGTCACGAGGGCTTTGTGGGCCGCCTCTTTCACGCCTTCGGGGCAGCTGCTTAGATTTCGTCGGAGAAAACTAAGTGACGTAGCTAGCCTCAACAGGATTTTGTTTCCTCGATATTGTTAAGACGTGGCATTTGTCGGGGTTAAATTTCATTTGCAATTTCTGAGACCATTCCTGAAGTGCTGTTACATCTAACTGCAGTTTAGTGGCATCATTATGGGACTTAATAGTGCTGTAGATAAGAGTATCACGAGCAAAAAGACGCATCCTAGAGGTACAATTTTCTCCGAGGTTGTTAATATATAGGAGAAACAAATGGGGGGCCAAGAACCGTCCCCTGGGGGATCCCTGAAAGAACTGGCATCCATGATTATTAAATCAATTTGCTCACCTTTATCAAGGGAACGAGCAGTTTCTTCTACTGTACAAAATAACTGGGTTTCACATGACAATTTTTTCCTAAAGCCAAGTCGATAGTTGACCAGTACTTGACTTGAATCAAGATGAGACATCATTTCGTGAAAAATAATGTGTTCCATAATATTACAGGGAACCGACATAAGAGAGATCGGTCGATAGTTGTCCACTTGCCCTCTATTACCTTTCTTGTGTACGGGTACAACGGTCGCTTTGAGCCAGAGCCGAGGAACTGAGCCTGTGTGAAGCGACTGCGTAAACAGAAACTGTAGAAAGGGAGCGAGTTCAACAGCAGCCTGCTTCAATATGAAGCAAGGACTTCTATCAGGTTCATTAGCATTTTTGCAGTCTACCTTCTGAAGAAGTTTCGTTATTCCCGCCGTACTAAAGTGGATCGGAGGTATGTCATCATATGGGCTGGCAATTTCTGGGGGCATGTTTTGCAGGTCTTCTTTGGTGAAAACAGACTTAAAATAATTATTCAGCAAATCAGCCTTCTTTCGACTGTCAGTTACGATATCACTGTTGATTTCCAGAGGGGCGACATCAACATTATCTCGCCTTTTTGATCTAATAAAGGTCCAAAATCGTTTGGTCATCGTCGGTCTACGAGTTTCAAGGTCCATCTCATTGGTCTTTAGGAGGTCCGATAGGTACTTATGGTATGCGAGTCAACCTTTTTTTAGTTGCTTTGCGCAGATCTTTAAACTTCTTCCAGTTAGCTTGGCTATTTGATTTACGTGCCTTGTTATATAGGGACTGTTTCTTACGTATTATACACTTAATTGAGCCATTCATCCTTGGTACATTCCATCGTGATCCCAGCTTCTTTGGAGGAAAGTGCTCTTTCATCACCTCAAAAATTGTTTCAGTTAGAAATTTGTAGTTTTCATCAACTGATTTATCTTTTGGGTTGTTAGTAAGATAATTGTCTATGCGCATTTTTAAATCGTTCCTAGCCGAATCTATGTCGCCCTTTTTAATTAAACAGGAAAACTTTCCTGGATTGTTTTCTATCAATTGACGGTTTCAGAGTTACATCCACAATCACTGCATCGTGATCGCTCATGCCATCAACTATCTGGACATTCTTTACCAGGTTTGGGTTCGTTGTGAGTACTAAATCAAGAATGTTTCCTATGCGTGTAGATTGTTTCACGTGCTGGAACATAGAGTGGTCGTTTATAATATCAAGCACCTTGGCGTTTACTGCTATACCACAGGCGGGGCTAGGTTTTAGCGAATATCCATCTTCTTCGTCCCAGAGGATATCTGGCAGATTAAAATCACTGGTTAGTACTCTATTTGGGAGAGATTTCGCTGTAAGTCTGGACAAAGTTTGGTCCAGGCACTCCAAGGGTTCAACAGCGCAATTTGGTGCCCTATAAATGGATCCTATGAAGAGTGGTTTACTTCCCATGACATGTACTTTTATCCAAAGCGCCTCCCAGTTTGAGTCCAGATTACTTTCGTGGGTCGCTATCAATTTGTTGGAAACAGCTATTAGTACACCACCACCATTACGATTACGGTCTTTTCGAAAAATCGAGTAGTTTCCACCAAGGATTTCCGATGAGAGAATCGAATTATCGATGTGGGTCTCATTAGCATTTATAATATCTGGCTTGTATGTGGCAACCACAAGATGAAAATCCAACCGCTTCGAAACGCTCCACAAGCTGCAACAGTTTAACGACAGCACTCGTAACGTAGGTGCATTGTGGTGCCTGACCATTCTTGTGTGATTGTGTTGGAGTGAAGCCCTTACCATCACTTCGCGAAGTTGACGGATGTCTACAAGGAGTTGATGAGGCGCAAGGCTGGCCGTCGTTTGCCGTTCCATCGAATTTTAAGGAGCGGGTAGTTGATGTAATATCCTCGAGGGGCGAGAAAAAGCTACTGGACAGTATTTCACTTCTGGAATCAAAGAGGGAGCTTGAGAAGCTGGGAAGACCGCAGTCACAGCATATCCACATGCATGAGCTGTTGGCCAGGGCGTCGTAAACAAGATTGTTAATATTACAACATCGTGCGTGGTGCCAACCATCGCAATAATCGCAATGAATAGCCTTTTGGTTGGATTTAACAGGCTTAGCGCACACTGCACGTGGATGCGTTACGCCAGGGCCAGGATTAAGCGAAAGATCTCCACACAAAAACAGAAGATTGAGGAAGATGGCACTTGATACCCTATTCGACATTACTAAATATATATAGATCACTCAATTATCCTTATTTATCATATGGCCTTGTAGCTTGGGGCCAAGCAGATAAGTCTCATATGGAAAAATATTGATACTCCAGAAAAGGGTTGTGCGATTAATGAACTTTGCCAACTATAATTCACACGCCATTCTTTATTTTATATCGGCTAATATTATGCCAATTAATATGCTTTACGTTAAACTCTCTTCTCTCTTAATGCATGATGTACATAACAATTTAACCCCTCCTAATCTTTCTGGTTTGTTCACTCTTTCCCACCAAATACACAATCATAATACCCGATCTTCATCAGCCGGTAACTATTACATAAACTGTTCTGGGCTAATTCAACAAAAAACTCATTCTCAAGGATTGGTTGTAAAATTTGGAATAGCATCCCAGGAAACTTAAGGAATCTTCCAAAACATATTTTCAAGAAAAAGATAACAACAATATTATTTCAAGATCTTCAAGTTTAGGATAGTTATGTTGACGTAGAACGAATAATCAATGATGTGTCGAAAGTTAAATCCAGTTAATAGTAGTGTATAACTTATGTATTCTTCTATTTATTGTCATGTGTTTCTGTTTCTGTATTTTTATCTCGTACTGTCATTTCTGCTTTAATGATTTAATATTCAATTTCTGTTTCTTGTATATTTATTGAATCTTTTGTTGAGCCGAAATTTATTTAAGATGTTTTAGCGTCTACACACTGCCCGCCGAGACTAGCTCTGCTATTTGTGGGTAGTACTTCATTATGTTAAGTGTCATGTCATGATTAAGTGTCTGATTACAAAAATTACATTTACAATAATTACTTGATCGACACGGAAATTTCAAGATGGCGGAATGCTTCTTGAGTCTGTTCTGCCAGAAAACTGCTAGTTCTTCCCAGCGAGATGTAGTTCTGATGCTGGGAGTCAGGTTCACATGACTACAAATGTATGTGAAGTCTGTCTCATAGGGCTGTAGCAGGCTGGAACGTACAAATAAAACGAAAAGAAGTACACAACGCAGAGCAGCGAGATTCGTGACCGACTTCCCATTAACTGCCAATGCTCAGCTCAGCTCACGGAAAGGGTTCTCTGTAGCTCACTTGCAGAGAAACTAGAAGAGCTGGGGTTTAAATAATTGAAGGAACTCATTTTTTCCTCAGTCTCCCTATGACAAAAATAGCTAACATCTTTCTTAACGTCAATTTTCGTCAACGGTGAAAAGTACCTGTTCCTTCAAAATTGAGCTTTCCGAGAAATTCTTTCACTCTTTAGAGCAGCTACACTAAATGCATGTTTTCTTACCCGAGCCAAAATCGAGGTTATCCTTGGACAGCAAGCTGGAAAGGAGTTTTATCAAGAGAAGAAGATCGTTCAGTTGCTCCTCTTCTTCCAGCGAATCCTCACTTATTTTTCCTATAAAAACATTGGTCACGAGTCAATTAAAGCATGATAAAACCAAGGTGGAGTCGATGATGCGCTAGTTAATCAAAGCGCTGCACAGTACTTGAATGACCCTCCATTAAAATTTCAAAGTACTTACCCAGGTTGCATTTCCCATACGTCTGAACAAGCCCCAAACAAACTTCATAAAGTCTTGGTAATTCATGCTAAAGATAGACAATTCAGTAAAAAAAGAAAAAACAGGTTTTGTTAGCAGAACGAACAACTTTGCATCTCAAAGTCTTTGAAGAAACTTTGGCAAGTGCCCCGGCGAAAAGAATAATACTAGTTTAACTGCGATCTAAGTAAGTTTTGCCATAAAACTACACTAGAACTCAGTTTATGCTGTCACCCATGACCCATAGATTTCCTTTGTGGGTATTTATACCTTCGTCATACCTTTTTATACATATATATATATATATATTTTTTTTTTTACCTCTCAATGACGGCACGATAAACCGGGCTTGCTCTCGGGCCCGTTTAACGAGGAGAAACTTGAAAAATTAATCTCATTTCGTTAACCGAACTGACATTTCCGTTTCACGCAACGGGCTAGCTGGGTTCTTAGGCCAGTTTTCCGGGCTCTCGTGAAAAGGACTTAAGTCTACACAAATTACGGGAGCTTTTAGATATCAATAGGGACACGTAACTGAACCAACACACCTCCTCAATATAAGCAATTTGGGAGTCGACTACATCCACAAACAATTCAAAAACCAGAACAACTACTTCGGGACAATTCTGATACACATTAACCAGGGGCACACAGTTCGAGAGCACAGGAAGGAGATAGTTGAAAAGTGTGTTCGCACTGTGTCGATTTGCCGCCAAAGCTGCTCCTCTGAAGGACTCTAACAAACACTGCATCTGGCTTCGTACTGGTTCCTTTTGGGACAATTTAGTAAAGTCTGGCTGGTGACAAATGCCTAGGAAGTGCGACTGTAGGGTCTGTAGAAGCTATAATCGGTAAAAGAGACAGATGGTTAGATTTTACCCCGGTCATTACCCATAAAAGAACATACGAAGTTTTTCAAAAGCGTGAGGTAATATTAAAACTTTCGAGTACTCTGTGGGGATTCAAGCGGCAGTAAGTTCCTATTCTCTAGCCGGAACTAAGCTACAGAGAACTCAGTAGTCAGCTAGGCTGCAAATTGCGCTCATGGGTAAAAAGCGTCCTATGGACTGCTAAGGTCAATAATGTCGAAAAGGTCTTGCTTTATGATAGAAGAGAGGAAGAAGGTAAATAAAGCAATGGTCCAGTGGCCAATTTTTTCTAAGTAAAGGTGGGTATTCTCAAAACCATCTGGAAAAGGCGTACGAGAGCTACAATAGTTTGGAACTTAGTCAGAACAAAGAATATTGCTCTCCGTTTACAACCAGCTGCCTTCGTTGTAGTCTACCTTTGAAGATAACCTACACACTTACCGTTCACAGATCATAATTGTAAGATTTAAGAATCCATCTTCGCGGTCATCTATAAGGTACTTTTTTTAGATTTGCTTCGCATCTAACGCGGTTTTTTACGAGGAAAACTATGTTACAAAAAACCATCACATCTGGCCAAGATTTGGCACATTTCTAACTCAACAATGATCTTGATAAATGAGATAGTGCAAGCACTTTTTACACTTTTTAGTAAATAAGTTACTCACTTGATCTAAGTATTTCTTTCTCGCAGCAGTATCGTCCCCGACTGATCCAGCCAGCACAAGAGCCTGTGTAAGGTACCGCAACACTTCAGGTGGAAGTTCGTGCAGTACAGAAGTTTTAGACATGTGTTCTTGTGCTAGGAGCCAAAGACTGTCGAACGAGATAGCCACTTCTGCCCTATATTGTAAATCAACAAAACGGTAAGAGAAATCAGAAGACTCGTCAACAATGAACATTCGTTCGCAAAAATACAATTGCCAATCGAGAGAGGGGTAATTATACATTGAAAGATTGTGATGGCATCCACACTTTTTCTTGAAGGATAACAAGGCATGTCCCATTGAGTGTCACAAGTAATTTGTGATGGCTTTGTTTTCGATTTATGTCGCTGAGTGATTTGTCTAGATGCGCCACCCTCCAACAAACAGAATGTAACCCTTAATATTTCCACCCTAACATCAGTATGCATATTCTCCATACCGTTCTCTATACATTTCTTAAGGCACTGACAAGGAGAATGTTTTTGACAACGAGGAGCCACTTTAATTGGTGATCACTTCATTTATTCTCGCAACCTTTGCATTTGATTCAAGGGCGATACTGCAGGGAGAAATTAGAAGCCAGACACTCTTAGGGGTGAAAGCGCTAATTGCGCACCCGCGTTTTCCCGCCCTTTGTTTTTCCTTAATTCTAATTGGCTCCTTAGAACACCTTCCTTTGCTCTGATTGGTCATTGAGATTACGTCATCTCCAAACGTGTATCATTTACCTGTTTTTGCTGTCCACTAAGCTTAACAGCAACAGAGCAGCGTCCTCGACAATCTGCGACTCCGCAGACCATCCCGATAAATTGGTCCTGACTTTATCCAGTAGGAATCCTAATGTCCACTTTCCACCATCAGTGCATGTTCCAAACACAGACATAAGAGACACGCTAAGCTTGTCATAGTCCTTCTCATCTGGTAACAGATACGACTTAGCCCAATGCCTCAGGCACCAGACAATACTCCGCCCAACCTGGGGGCTTAACAGTTCTGATAAACCAGATCCTAAAGCCTGTTTCTCCAGGTTTGCCAAGCGGAAGATGACCGACACGAGTCTCACAACTGGATCAACTCTGGAAGAGTCCTGTATACTGTCAGCATTCCCTGTGATAGGAAAAAAAAAACATTCATAGGGAAATCCAAGAGAGGACCCAACTAAAGCTGGCGATAGTCTAATATCTAAAAATGTCTTAACTCGTTCTATGAGATTCCAAGAACACCAAAGCACTTAAACCCTAAAATCAGTGTTCATATTCTACATATTATTCTCCATAAATTTTCCAAGGTGCTGAAAAGGAGAATCTGTTTAACAGTTGAGAGCTTTCCTAGTTGGTGATCAACTCCTTTACTCTAATGACTTAAATGTGTGATATGTGAGGGTGATAACGTAAGAAGAAATTAGATGTTAGTAAATTGATGGAGGAATTTCTTGGGGAAATGGACTCTATGGAGAATTCACTCTCTTAGCATCACTCTCTCATGGAGATGGTTTGAGATAAGTGACAAATGAAAAGTTGATAAAGCGAGGAACAAAAGTTGAAAACATTTCTAACAAAATAATTTGGATATATCAACAAAGTTGAAATGGTAAATTGGCCACCGTAACGAAGGGCTAACGCTCGAAACGTCAGCTTTTGTAATCGTTACGGTGGCCAATTTACCATTTCAACTTTGTTGATATATCCAAATTTTATCAAAAATACTAGAAAATAGAATGCTCTTGTGTACATTTGTGTGAATAATGTAAACTTTTTTTGACAACATTTTGCAAACAATTCACTAATTTTTTTGTTGAAAATCAATATTGGCCAGGCATTACTTGAGACTCAAACCCCGGTGTAAGATTCAGCTATCGTTACATTTTTTTCTGTTTTTAGTGTGGCAGTTTTTCTTTTAGGTTACTCCGGTTTAATACCAGCTTACAGACCAAGGCCTAAATGAACTGGTAGTCTTGTACTTAGGAATAATCAAAATCACAAATGATGTTCCTATAGTCATCGACACACTATGTTTCGAATAGTTTCTCCATAGAACATTTGAGGCACGTCAACATGACGAGAGGACGAAGTATTGATTTGACATACATTCGTCGCTGTTTTAGCCGTACGCGTTACCTGCTAGGGATTTAGTCAAGTTATGGATTTATAATTCCTTCAACTGAAAGAACTTTTAATCTATAACTCGGAGAAAATCTAATAGTGGAAACAGTTATAAACATACGAAATTGTTTAGTGTGACGAGTTTATAACCTATATTTTTGGAGAGTAGCTATTTGTGGAGTAAATTTTTGCTTTTCAACCAAATCATTTTTATTCAGTCAAGTTTGTAACGCAAAGTTGCTTTATTTACATAAAGAAAATACGCTTCAGCTTGATATCCTTGCAGGTGGATTCCAATCAACCATACAAGATATTAACCGCTCCACGTACATATGCTAAAAAATGCAAAGACGACCAGGCAAAGCTAGGAAGTAATCTTAACAGAATCACAGCGGACCGATATAAAATTTTAAAGGACAGGATCTTTGGGGAACTTTCCATTCAAAGATATATGCATTCTATATATTTTCCTCCACTGCATGCTTTTATTTAGTCTATTTACAAAAAAATTTATAAAGACTGATAGTTTCGAAAGAAACTGTTTGGGGCTACGTCGGTGGGAGTAACGAGATAATTTGGATATATCAACAAAGTTGAAATGGTAAATTGGCCACCGTAACGAAGGGCTAACGCTCGAAACGTCAGCTTTTGTAATCGTTACGGTGGCCAATTTACCATTTCAACTTTGTTGATATATCCAAATTATTTCGTTACCCCCACCGACGCAGCCCCAAACAGTTTCTTTCGAAACCATCAGCCTTTATTCATTTCTAACAAAAGTTGATAAAATTCTGTGTTAAAAGGGTCTAATATCTTCAACACTTTAAAGTGCAATTTTACCTATGGCAGAATCTAGCAGATCACATGTATATTAATAGACTAGCTCGAACTCCTCCTTAATTCCTTCTACAATACATTTTAACCCTTTTCCCACTCAAGATCTCCAATATAAATAATCTCTATCATCTGAGGAGCTTTTTGCTGGATGTTCATTCTGAAAATTTAGCATACAATATTTTAAAAAAGATGCAACATAACAACATTTATCAATAAAATACAGTTCTTTTGACAATGATCATTCTGCCCAATTAAATAAGGATCTATTTTCTCAGTACATGTACCTGTAGACTGATTATAACAGTGAACCAGATTTCATGCTGTTGTTGTTTTCACTGCTTATATGGGAAGAAGGCTGCACCTTATTGGAATTCATGCACCACTTACCTTGGTTTCGCAATGAACAGAGACACTGAAAAGTAGCCTGCACATCAACATGACTTTCTAAACTTGATGAATATGATATAATTTCTTTTGGAATAAGTGGTTTCTCCCCATTGCTATCATCAGCAAGAAAATAGCCAGAAATTAGAAGTAACCAATGAAGGTCTTCATAAAGGTTATCCATGCCGGGAAAGCCAGAGGGTAAAGGACCTACAAAAAAGTATAACCAGATGTAAATGTGATAAAGGAGTAGACTCCAGTAACTAACCAATTAATCATTATGTTGGTTGTCTGATTGTTTATTTGATTAATGAATTTAATTAGCGACTGAGTGATTGATTAATAGCTTGATGAATTGATTGTTGGTTGATTGACTGATTTTAGATTGACTGATTGTCTTAATGACTGGCTGGCTGGCTGGCTGGCTGGCTGGCCAACTGACTACCTGACAGATGGGATAGCTAACTAACTGACTTACTGACTGACTAAATGATTAATTGACTGACTGAGTAACTGGGTTACTGGCTGATTGGCTGACTAGGTGACTGGCTGACTGGTTGACTGACTGACTGGCTAACTGGCTGACTGGCTAACTGACTGACTGACTGACTTAGTGACTAACCAAACAACTGACTAACTGTGTGACTGGGCAATTACAACTGACTGACTGACCAACCAACTAAGCCACTGATTACAGTACCGCTCTCAAGTAAGTTGACTGAACGAGTGAATGACTGACTGACTAACAGACTAACTTACTGACAAACTGAATCACCACTTAATAGCTAGGTTACTCAGTATTAACTTTATAATTGACTAATCAAATAACTCACCTAAGGACCTAAAGAGCAACTAAATGATTGTCTGGTTTATTGATGGATGAGAAGCTTGACTAAATACCTGTAGAATACTGGATAGTGGAGAGATACTTTTCAAACTGATCAGCTCTACTTTCTAGGAGTTTTGTAAGAAGGTTAAGAGCATGTTCTGGTATGAGACGACCAAAGCTGCCAATAGTACACAACTGATCAACAAAGAGTTCTCTGTCATCACTATCCAGATCACAGATCTCATCAAGGTGAATTCCATTGTCAATCTGATAGGAAAATGTCCCACGCAAACCATCTGGAGCAGCCAAATGACACTGAACATAGCAGTTTAATATCTTAGTGGCACTGTCACTGAATATTCCTTTTGGAAACAGTCCCGACTGCTCCAATAGGCTAGCCCATCCTTCCAAGAATTGTTCTACAGCTTCTATATAGCTTGTGTCTTCCGTGTTCAGCTGAGAGCAAAATGAGCATAGTCAAGTAAGAGATTGGTTTAGAGATGTGTGCTTAAAAAAAAAGAAAGTTCAAGCTACAAGAGCAAATTTTTGGACATAGACATAAAGAACAATTAATGCAGTTTAACCCTGTAACTCCCAAGATTTGATTTATTTAGTAATTCTCCTTTGATATTTTATATATTTTTGTATGTAAAATTGGAGAGAATTTTATGTTATAACAATAAAAATCACATAGCAGGAGGAGGGGTAAAAATGTAGAAGGAACAAAAAAATGTTGAGTGGCAAACCTCTTCTTCTTTTGCAACAGCTTGTAAAAAGGAACATGTCAGGTCAGTCATGGATTCTCCAAACAGTCTTAGTGTCTCAATGGGTAAAGCCGTGATGGCATAAATAGGAAAAACACAAAGAAGACGGTTCACAATGCTACCAAGGCACAATGCTGCTTGTCCATTCATCTCCAAGCTTAAGGAGAAACACCAATCAATAGAGTATTAAAAACCTAAGTATTACTAACATAGACAAACAGTCAGCATAAGATGCTCAACGTAACTAATACAGACAAATTTCGATTACCAATTTTCCTTTGATTTAGAGTTACTCTATAATTGTACAGTACCACAAGATTGTAGAACTTACATTATTTTGTAAAAAAAATAAAAAAACTTCAAATTAGACACACATCTGACTTCAGTCACATTCTATACACAGGTACATAATTGCACCACAATGTCTATCAGCTAGAAAATAAGTAGTATATGATGTCTGTGTGATTTGCATTTAAGCTGACCATACAGAACCTATGCTACAAATAATTATTTAATAATTATTTAATTTCTACACTTAATCCAGCTCCCTGTCATTTTTAAATTGCTTTGTAAATCAATGGTGCAGGTACCCTCTTGTTATCACAAATAATTAAAGTAATCAATTATTTTATTTTATTTAATACATAGCAAAAACTTGATAAAGAGTACAATAAAGTTGTTATTGTTGTTGCCAGAGAAGAAGAACAAACACTACACCTTTTTGAGATTTGTAGAAATCCCTCCACAAAATTAGATAGGTATTGTGTTTGCGACAGCGTATCTTGAAATACCTCACCAGAGAGGGAGGCAAGCTGGATTAAGCACTGCCCACAGTGGTGGCATATTTCATCATTGGCCTGCATCGTTAGCTGAAGCTATTGAGAATATGTAGCATTTACAGATAGCAGCAAGTAATTACATGATCTATGTAGTTAATTGACAATTTATGAGTCTGGATAAAGAAGCATGAAATATACTGATTCAGAAGGTCTTATTGTAATATAGCTAGCCCTTTCCCTCCCAAGATCTAGCAATCAATTCCTCTTACTGACTGCCATACAATTTTTATGAAGTTAGTTTGGTGAATTTAATATTGGGTCAACAAATAATCCCTTTAATGATATTTGTTTTTATTCTCATTACTTGTCTGCTTGATATCATATTGATATTGTAAGGAGAAATTCTGCCTTGGTCACTCATGGGAGTTTAAAGGTTAAACTTGTGGGTTCCATGTTACCACTGACAAGGTTAAGCAGGTAAGACAAAGCCATTTGTTTAATAGAGGTTACCCATTGGTAAACAAAAACTAAATTGTAACATACCACAAGTTTGAATATTAAGAAGTAAATACTAACTGACTACTTGAGATTTTCAATCAAGATAACTTCTTATAGTGCAATTCAATCCTTTTTGGGCTTAAACAAAGTGTGACTATGTTGCAGGCTGCCAGTTCCATTTATGGGGTGATATAGAAGACTTGAAACAACCAAACAATAAGAAAAACAGGTTATAGGGCATAGAAATACTAGAGTGCAAAATTCCTTAATTCAGTTTCCCTCTTTCCTTTTTAGGCATCCAATTTGGGTAAACAACCCACAGTGAAGCCAATTTGTAGATTGTAGATTTACTGTTCTACAACACTTGACATCTCATTACAAAACAAATCTACAGTAAGACAACAGATGAGTTCACAGATTTTTGCTCACATCACTTTCCCAGAAAGGAAACATAAGATGATGACAATCACTACACATTTTCCAGTGAAGACATCAGGCCTGTTTTTCCCTACTCCTTTATGAACAGTACCTTGCAAAACAAGCTCACCAGAGCAGGATCAAAGATAAGCTCTCTCCAAGAAGTACCTGGTCTAAACAGGATCACAGCTGCTGCTTCCCCTGACACAAGATTTTTTCTGTGACGTACACTAGTTAAGGAAGTCCATTCATCATCACAGTTGTCTTCATCATCATCAGAATTGATAGTGACAGGATTTTGAATGGCTAGGCCTGTGAGTGGGCAAGATGAAAAACCTTGGGAGTTCTTACTACAAACTGTGAATTTTCCTTTTTGATCCTATAGAAATGAATTGCTTAAAGCCAGTTAGCACTCTAGGTTAAAAAAAAATTCCTTATTATGAAAAAAAATATTTTCAGGTAGTTTTTACCAAAGCTAAATTCCAAAACACAAATCAACTGGTTCTGACCAAAGGACAAATGAATGTAATTTCCCTTCGAGATTGCTTTCACACAGTCGAGAAGTAAACTTTTATAGAGGGTGACTGTAGTAAGTCATAACAAAGTGTAAAAGGATATCAAACTTTGAAAAATCCCAACTCAAAATCTGTTCAGCTAAAGATGTCAAGTGCACTAAAGCAGAAGTGTCTTGTACTGAAAGGAGATTCAATTCTGTCACCAAGAACTGCTGCATGGCTTGTACTACCAGCATGAAGATTTGTCGCAGAGCTTGAACCTGATCAAATACAACACGTCACAAATTTAACGAGACAGAATAAAAAAAATAAAAAAAAAAATTCACCAATCATGTCAGTTAATCCAAAATGTGAAGCAGAAGGTTTAAATTTTAACTTACACTGAACTGTAAAGCTTAAGAAGAATTAAAGAATCAAAGAATATGGCCATGATGTCAGCTGGTTTAGTGAGAGAAAAGACAACTAAATTCATAAACACATTTAAAAGAATAAACCCATACAGTAATGGCAACTGGAAGTCCTGGACAAGAATTAAAAAGCTTTATAAAAATAAACTGGATATTTGGGAGCGAGAATAAGAGTTCTAAATTCCAATCAATGAGTTCCCAGCACAACTTTTTATAAAGTTATTATTTGCTGACCTAAAATTAAAAATCTGCACCAGAAATTAAAGTTTAGTCACTGTAAATAAAGAGTGGGATGGTAATTGGTTTTGGGGGGTTCATAAAATGACCAATGGACAGTAAAGGAGAGAGAGGCAAAATCTTTATTTAAAAAGACACCAAGAATTAATTTTATAGCATTTAGGGCATGTGTTTACTGTGTAACTTTATACCAAAAACACTGATTGATACAAAAGACTAAAGCTTGTAAAATGATAGCTAAGCACAGATCTCGAAACCAGTGACTTGAGCTTCACATTTAGTTGCCAAAATATTTTTCTTGCCTTGGCAACAAAAGCAGACACAGCTTGGAGCTTGCCCAAATCTTGAAGTGATCTAAGTTAAAATATCTTAAAAGTTATCATACCTCAAAAGATTTCTTACACTGGATGTGAAATTCCCAACTCAAGCCAATGTCACTGCTACGTGTATGGAAGGCGAACTCATTCAAAAGTGCGCGTAGAATCATGCAACCCAGAATTTGCTGTTTTAAAATAGGAAATTCTCTGATTAGACTTAATGAAAATCAAAACCTATTTTCCACAGGAACATCACAAAATGGTTTTCTTATTCCTGCTTCAGTTTCCTCAAACAGAGCTCTGTATTAGAAAGGTCAGGTCAGCTGTCCATTTTTGTAAATAACATTTCCAGTGCTTCAGATCATGTACATGTGCAAAACCTTCATAGAAGAAAACTTCAAATGGATTAACAAACAAGGAGAACTATATCCCAATAGTTAGCTAAAAACCTTGAAATAATGACCCCTTTTTCATCCATAAAAAGCTCTTAGTGAAACATCTCAGATACCGGTAACTCAAGCAAATTTGAAAGACATGAAATTGAGCGAGACTGCATATTTTGTGCATGTGTTCCATAAATTAAATTATATAACATAATATTATCTTCTTGTTGCTAATTCTGCTTACACAGGCAGAATTAAACTATTCAACTAAAATGACATGTAACTTCTGACTACAATTTTAATACCATGTCAATCAAACATCTAGGGTTGTAACTAAAGTAAGTTTTCTTGTGTAAAAAAAAAATTGTCAAACAAAATCTTTTATTATTGGTAACACAAAATAGAAAAGTGGTTAGTATTTATCCCTTCCCTTCCCCACGGTCTTATATACCCTTGCAGGGATTTCATTAAGGGCAAGGCACCACGCAAATTTGCCTGCTGGGAACAGGACCTTTCCCAGCTGCTTCATCAAATTTTCTGTAAATGCAGTACTTTCCTTGTCTTTTTTTAGAAGACTGTCTAAGAGTTATAACAGTCTTCTGAAAAAACATATTTTGGAGTTGAATTTCAAATTTTTATGGGGATGCATACCCCTGGATCCAGGACCCCCACCATAGCAAGGTCCCTGGGCCTTGCAGATTCTCTGCCCTCATGTGATATCCTGGTGCCCCCATGCATAAATTCTTATTAAAACCCCTTTCCTGTGACACAAAGAGAATTTGTTTTTTAATCAAAAGTCACTTAGAACTTGATCTTCAAATGTTATTATTTGTTAGGATGTTTTTCTTTACAAATTGCCTAACTGCAGTCAAGATGTCATCAGAAATTAATGTGACAGTTATTTGAAATGAAAGTGAATTCTTTGAAGTTCTAAACAATCATCAAGATTAAAACTGCTGAGCCTTACTAATAGATAAAAAATTTGTATCATCCACCTCAAACTAATGGATACTCATTTTTAACAGTAGCTATACCCACCATGCCTCTATTGTTGCTTGTCATTAGCTGCGTAACATCTTTAAGCAGAGATTCTTGTATGATGTGTGAATTTTCTACTATGCTTCTCTTACAGATGACAGCCACTACTTGCAACACTTGCTCCTTCACATACTTTTGAACACTTCAGGAACAATAAAACATTCAGTTACAAATTGTCCAAGGGCAAGGCTGTGCTCTAAGAAAAATTGAAGGGAGCCCAGTACTCTGAAACTGTGAAATCCAGGGTGCCCAGCATATACTTTATATGAAAAAACTAAGATTCCTGAGTCGCCCAAGAGCAAAAGTAAGGCGCCAGGGGCCACCAGGCGCTGCTAGACCACAGCCCTGAAGGGTAATTCAACAAAGAAGACGAGAATTGACCAGAATTGAGGCTACATGGCCTGTAGCTGCTGGTGCTTAGTACACCCCTTCTCAACCTGTTTCTGCAACACTAAGTAACTGGGGATTAATCTTATCCTCTCAGATGGAATGCTGATCCATTACGAACACCCTATCCCTTAACACTGCTTTTAGTTTTCCCCTAGGGATTTACTTCTCTAAGTCAGCTTTCCCCTTGGGGTTTCCATAGGTGATACTTTCAGGGTAAAGTGCTTTGTTCAAGAACACAACACAACAACACACAAACACAGCCAACACTTCAAGCCAAAACTCCTGATATAGATTCGAGTATAAATACCAACATGCCCCTGTGTCTCCAGCAAATAAGAGTAATAGCTGCTAAATATTACATATACACAGAAAAAGAATCCTCAAAGCAGTCTTAATTTTCGTGTACCATTCTTTCACAGTCAGTCTTTTCAAAGATCTTTACTCATATGAAATTCCTTTCTGTTCTTCTTACCCTTGTTTATGGGTCACAAATGTCAATAGGAATGATCTCAAGGATTCCACATCTGCTTTTTCAAGAATTGTCCACTCACGAAGGATGGCCTCTTTGATTGTTGAGGCAGCTTGAAACAGCAAATAATCATTCTTGCTTTGCTCTACACAAATAAAAAGACCAGTCCTTTTTATGACAAAAAACTAACTTTGAAAAGTTTTGGATAATTTACATCCACTTTGAAAACCATGTATGAAAATTGAGAAATTACAATAAAACAGTAACCACAGTGAATCTAAGTGTCTTTTGTGGTGACTTCACACTGAGGTGTAAAAGAGTAGGAAGGGTAATAAAGAACAAAAATCCCTAAAATTGAATACTTGTGTTAGTGAATACCACAGAGGAACCGAAAAAACTAGTTAATTTCTACCAAAAAACTATAAAAATAGTTAGAAACTAAAATCTTGATGCCTGATTTTGTCTCTTCAGCTGCCCGGAAGTGAATACTACTAGCTAATCACTTTCAAACTAGCCAATCAGCACACACAAAAAGCACTTTGCATGTGTGGTATACACTAAAAAGCAAAATTCAAACAATGTCAACAATTCAAACAATGTCAACAATAGGTATATTGGCAACTTATGAGTATTCCTGTGTCCTGCAATCCCAATTACTGGAACCACCTAATGGCCTTGTGAATCAGGACTGATTTGATTATATTAGTTTTAAAAGCACTCTTCAGTCTGGACTCTGCTAGTATTTATAATAAAATGTTAATAAGTTTTATTTTTTTTCTCATTTCCACCGTTATGATGCATGGAAAAGACACGAGAGACTGAAAGACGACTTTGGGATTGTGTGATTGATTAAACTAATAAACTCAGTTAATTAAAATGAGATCACAATATTCATTACCAAGGATCTGCCTGCATGCCAGGTAAGGTGACTTTGATCTTCTAAAATTCAGGAACACTTGTTCGGCGGACTGGCGTTGTTGTTGCGTCACGGCATTTGGCGGAGCCTGAAAACCCACGTGCAAATTAAACCGGTTCAAATGAAAATAAATCGGCTAAAAGGAGTAATCTGAAATCTTACCATCATTATGGCGGCCGAATGTTCGAGTTCCTGAATGGAGGTCATTCTAAAACCGACCGTAAAACGCTATCTTCGCGAGTGAACTACATTGAATGTGAGTTACTTGTTTACGCGGAGCAAAACAACTATTTTCCACTTGGCGATCCTCCCGTGAAGGAATGGCACTAGAATGTAATTTAGGATCCAGATCCCAATAAACCAACCCGGCATTGTAAGATCTTCTGTTAGGTTTAATTTTGCAAATGTTTGTCTTAGAAAATTCTGGCCACCATTTGTTTGGATAGGACTGTAACACCATAATCTAATCGGAAACTGAAAAAGAAATTTATTTAGGGTAGAGATTAGGATAATTTGGAACAACATTTCAATTATGCTTCTTGATGCCAATAAGTTGCTGGTGTAGAATGTTCTGATCTAAAATCCTTCACAAACCTTTATTTAGCTGTATGGAAGAAAACAGTTGTCTGTAGTAAAAATTAACTGCAAGAAGGAAATAACACTGGATGAAACAAATAACATTAGTATGAGACGCTGAGAAACAGGCCATAGAATGAGAATGTCTATTGAGAATGATACATAATGCTAGAAAACTCTATAAATTTGGTTTATGAAGGATCAGGAGTTCACTTATACCAAACAAGCTTGCTGTTCTGACCATCCTCTCTTGAAATTTTTCTGCTTTGAAAATGGCGAGTCCTTCTAATTTTGTTTTTGGCATAATTGTCTTGCAGGTTAGATGCCTTGATGTGGAGGACACAGTCACACAGTCAAAGGTCTAGGATAGACAGGTATCCAGGATCCTCTTTACTTAGGGATAGGCTATTTCATGATACGAATATCAATTATCTACCTCTTCATGATACTTTAATATTTGGTATCAATGTTTTGGCTGCTATATGGTATGGTGGTATCAACCCCAACCCCTCTAGTCTGGCAAGGTCTAATATTAGGATTAAATTGTCTACATTTCAGTCTTATCCCTTTCCCAAGAATGAGAAGAGTATATATACAATGGTTTATGAACACCAAGTATGTAACTGATAAACTTCTTGAAATAATCATCTCTTGAGAGTAAAATGAGTGCTTATAGTAAGATACAGTTCTGTTGTCCAAGGTAACACGTTGTTTTCTACTGTCTCAGCCTTCAACCTTATGAAGAGATGAACATCATTCTACCATTCTGTACCCTTGAGGCAGAGAGGTTAATTTCATGTGGACGAATAGTAAAACTCTTGCTGAATAATAGATAAACACAAGTCAATCTCAACAAAACTTTATTGATCAATGGAAGTACCATTCATGATACAATGTGGTTGTCTCAATGAAGGAGGTCATAAAAAAGACTGTTGTCAGTGACAATGCAACAGAACTGATAAAAAATATCTGCAATCAGGCATGCACTGACAGCATTTCATTCAAGGGTTTTCGCACTTGCATCTGCTGACATCAAAAACAGTCTTCGGACCCTGTCCCAAAGTGGTAAGTTTTGAGCTGCCCAGCTGTCCATTTCAAGAATCTGGGAAATGTGCTGGTCTCCAAAACATACTGCAAGTTACATTTCCAAGTCAATGATAGCAGCAACATACACCTCAACAAAAAAAGAAACACAAGCAAAATTTAAATAACACAATGAAATATCAACTAATCACCAAGACTAGTCCCAGAAACTCTCCAACCCCTTTAAGTGCCTGGCTTCTAATTTCTCCTTACATTATCACTCTTGAATCAAATATAAAGGTCATGAGAATGAAGGAAATGATCACCAATCTGAGAAGCTCCTGACTGTAAAACAAATTCTCCTTGTCAGTACTATGAAGGAAATTTAAAGCCAACGGTATGGAGAATACGAATACTCATGTCATGGTTAAAAGGGTTAAGAATTGTTAGCTCAGCAAATGCAGAATCCCAACACATCAACAAAGCCTTCTACCACTAGTGCAAAGACAGTGCTGCTGTGTCAGCCAGCCCACATCTGTAACTGGTTTCAGGACCCCTGCACTTTCATCAAGGCTAACTTTGACATACAAATGCATACTAAAAAGTAAAACAGTAATTGGTGACAAGGGGTAAAAATGTTATTGTCTATGATATACTCTAAAATGTCTTCCAGGTATGCGAGACCCAGTGACAAGCAAGGAAATTGTCTCTTCCCCAAACAAACAAGGAAAAAAAATAATCACTGCTTCACCTACCTCCCTTCCTCTCATGCTTTTAGTCTTACTCAACAAAGGACTCCTAGTAAGACAAACAAAGCAAAGTGAGTCTAAGGCTCAATGACCAGTTTCTGTTCAGTAACTCTCATTGAGTTCATTCACTCTGAAAGAGAGTTAATGGTATAATCATCCATTTTGTTCATAACTTCATGGCTGTTCATCATTGTGAATGAACTTTAATAAAACAGAAGATATTCATGATCTATAGATAATCTCATGTGCACCTTCTCGGACGTTCATAATCCAAACTGCATCCAGATGGAACGTGGAGGGCTTACTGAAAACTCATCAACTCTATTGCTAGCAGGAGCCACTGAGGGTAAATTTATTTTCCACTTTTGAGCAGAAAGGTGGTATGTAAAAAGAAAATGTTAATGGAGAATTTTCCTAGATTAAACACCAAAATCTCAAGAGCTCTAACTAATAAAAACGTAACGGAGAAAGTGTAAAGAACTGCAATTTGGATCTTGGAAGTGAAAGAGTAAAGAGCCAAAAACAGTTATCTGGCTTTGGAGCACAAAATTACTGAGTGCCATAAAACCAAACGAGAGTAATCACCCCAGCTAATCAGATTACAAAAGGGAAAGCATCATACCAAGAGCGGATGAAAACTCCAACTAGGAGAAACAAGGAAACTACCTAAGTGTGGTAAACGAGGCAGGTTCACAACATAAGATTTTATCGTTTTTCCTCTCTCTCTGTTGCCACCATGTCCTTGTGATATTGTTTACTAGCTAATAAGACTTTATAAAATAAACCTGGGAGTTAAAGTCAAGAGATAAATTACCTACCGCACATTATAAGATTGTGTTGAAAAAATGGCGTCCTTTGATACCACGTGTGGTATATGTGTCCACTGAATCATGGGATATAGTTTACGCATGGGACACAGGACGAAAACAAATTTATTTTACACTTAACACTTTGGCTTCACGATTTTGAATGCTTCCCCTCTAATTTTAGTCCTTTTCGTCAGAATTGAGACCTTTGAGTTCCCTCCTCAACACTTTTGTCCTGTTTCGAACGTCTACTTATGAAATAAGGATGATGCTGTCCCAGTTCGGAGAGTTCGGCCAGTTTCGACCCATTTCGAACATTTTCAGAACACAGAAGAGTTTATCTCCCAGTAGGACAAACAGAAATTTTTTTCAAAAAACATCAACGGAACAACCGTTGAAAATTTGTCTTATTTTGGTCCGTTTTGTTGCGGACTGATATGAATAAAAAGGCAGATGGATGAAAATAAATCAGTCATCAACACGGGCATGGCACTAATGTTTTTCAAAAAAAAGAAAATACGTCTCCGGCGTAACTGAGATAAATACATATACCTGTGGTGGTGGTAAGACGAGAATGCCAAAGTTTCAAGATCTCGCCATTTTTTGGACTACTAGCATGGTATTGGTACGGTAGCAATCAGCACTTACCGTAACCCGTTTAACCCCACTCACCCCACCCCCGCCCCCTGCTCTCCCGGCAAGAAAAAAGAGGAAAGAGAAAAACGTGAATAAATTAGAGTCTTGGAACTTGAAACAACTCCAAACCATAAGTTTTCAACCTGTAATGTTAGAAGTGTTTCACGTAAAGGGAAGTTTTCTTAGCTTATATTTTTTTCTATTTCGTCAATTCAAGGTACTAACAGAGTATACCATATAAGGTCTCATCTACTGATAAGACCTCTATAAAAACACTCACTGAAGAGGTTTCTAAGGCGAAGAAGGATGGCTCTTTGATTCTTTTACTTGTGGCTCTTGGCTCCAGTAGAGAAAGGCTACAAGATCTCTACAGCTGAATTAAAGTTGAAGCTAGTTTCCGAAGGACCCTTTTGTTCTTAAGCCACTCGATGAACGGAAATTTGAACAGGTTTCAAGGTCTTTTAAAGGGGCGGATATTAAACCAACAACAGGATTATTTTCCTTTTTGCAAAATTAAATAAACTTTCAAGTTTACATTCAACACACCCAAAGCACCCAACCGTATCTCATGTATCACCATAGCTGCAAAGAAATTTGCATTTTTAATCACGTAAATCACCTATTAAAAAACCATCACAAGTTGATGCGGCGAGCGGTTTGTCAATTGCTCGCACTCGGTCTAAGTAAACTTGCGATTTGGTCGTGTTCAAGTGTAATTGTTGTCGAGGTGATCTTTCATATTGGATGCTGAAGATACAGAGAAAACATCGATCATAGATTTCCACCTGGCAGAGCGCCGGATTTAGCTTATCATCGACTTGCAATGAATCGTGATTATAATCAGGTTGGTCCATGAATTATGTGGCTCTCGTAAATGTTTAGCTCAAGATAAGATAGAAATAACCAACGATTTCCATCAATAGCCTGGCATGATCGCACATCTACAGTAAAGGTACAACTGAGGTAAAATTTCGCCGATATAAGTTGAGTCACAACTTTGAGTAAACGTTAAGAGGAGGCCTATTTAATTGTTTAATACATATGAACTCTTTATTAAACAACTATTGATGATTACATTGGAAGAGCAAACTTTTATGCAAGATAATCTTTAAGGTATCATCGAGTAGAAAAGCAATAAAACACTTGTAACTTAATTTTTTGTGGAAGAACTAGCTGAAGTCTTCAACAAGTGATTACGAAATCATGCAAATAGTGAAGTTAATTAACGACTACATAAGTATCATCATTCAATTATCACCTTTGCTTGTCAAACCGTAAAAATACGTTCATCAGAGCATGCTCATGAAAGCATGGTAGCATTCAATATCAAACTTCTACGCATTTCCTCAACACCTTTCGAGTCGATCTCGTGCGTTCGTCCTTGCGTTGCTTTCCATTTCATGGCGGTGATGTCCGAACATACGGATGCCCGGGAGGTACTCATTTGTTTCGGTAAAATGCATGGCAATATGCTAGACGCTTCTGCATGACGTCGATATGCCACAATCCATAACAATTATTACGCTTAGACAGGGAGGCGAGATTAAAGGATTTTGGTTTTCCTTTGAAACAAGATTGTAGTTTTAACACCTTCGCATAACAAACCCCATTCTTAAGTGTCCCCTCCGCTCCTGGGTATGGGTATGTATTTCTTTTAACGATTTGTTGTTGTTGTTTTTTTGTTTGCAGCTTATGATGAGTGGGGGGAGGGCAATAAAGCACTAATTTCTAATTTTATATTATGCACAATACGAATAAACATCGAAGTACAATAAATCCTCTTTCCTCTGACTAAAAAAAGGGACTAGGGAAGGGCGAGGGAAGGGGTTAGTTGGTCTCCCCCACTTGTAAGCTGGCTCCGCTGGAAGCTTGTGGTGATCTTGCGACAATAACCTGTCCATCGTCTCAACCAATCGTAAAAGCTTAAGTTCGTATAAGAGAAAGAGACATACTGGCACGAGCTTTATTCAGGTGGGAGGATTTCGTACTAGAACGAAGTCCAAGGGAAAAAGAATGATGTAGACATACTATACCACTCTTACCCGATTCTATCGACTTCGTTTCACAAGTACGTTCACCCTCTTTTTCGTCGGCAAGGCTTGCCCGTGACCATTAATGACGGAAGTGTATGTCTGGCACGTCATACAACACACTCTTTCAAGCAGTAAGAGGAGCGCGGGGAGTGTGTTGTAAGATAGCAAAACTACCGGCGAAGGGAAAAGGACGAAAAGGGAGCAAAACCCGGAAGAAAACCAAACATGTATTGTTTCTCCTGGACGCATGGTCCCAGTGCGCGTACGTTTTCTTTATCATAATAAATATGCTTGGGCTTTGTTGTTTCAGGTTTCAGTTTTATATTCCACTGCTACGGATAACATTGATATTGGGGACGCGATCGAGAGTGGAAGGCCACGCGCAGCCTCTGAGGAAAAAGGCTTGCATAGATGGATAAGGACTTCACGCGACCTTTGGGGCTCTCACTCCTTTCAGATCATTGTTGTGGCCATTTCACTTGTACTGCTTATTTACACTATTATAGGTGAGTGCCACTGAGTCACAAGCAAACAACTGGGTCGTAGGCTAGAGGTCAAGCGATTAGTCATAAGGTGACTGAGGTGACGCGATTGATTCAAGAGTAAGAACGGATCGATTATCTTCTTCCTCTCTTTTCAGATGTCACGCAACCACCCACCCCTAGAAAAGATTGGTTGCGTGACATCCCGGAAACGGCTGCAAGGAGAGATTCAAATTGGCATCAGAAATCAGATGTTAGTTGGTGTTAATTTTTAAAAGGGAAAACTTTACTAAGATCATGCTCTAAGGACGTCTACTATAGCAATGTATTAAATAAACCAGGATAAAATTGTCCCATATGAGTGACTTTTTTTCTCTCTTATCCGGCGTTTAAGCCATCAGTATCAGTGGATTTCACCATGTAAGGGGGCTCTTCGCCATCTCCACCGTATTCTGGTTTTGCGTGATCTACATGTTCACTCGTGACTACTGTGGAGGGGAAATTTACACTTTATGCTGTTTACCTGTTCTTTCATTGATTCGAAAGAAGTGGAGGATCCTTAGATGGTAGGTTACTTGAAGTACCTCATTAGTTTAATCAGTTTCCAAAGGAGTTACCGAACACGATTACGCAATTTTCATGCAAAGGAAACGGTTGGTTGAAAAGTTAGATCACTCTAAGGTAAACTTGCTTGGGTTAGTTGGGCGGGGTGTTAGGGCGTAAGAGTGTCATCTGATATCATACGAATGAGGACTCTCTCTAACCTGGAGATGAAATTAAGAATCCTTAGAATTAAAGCGTACTACGTATTCGCAGTTCCGGGTTAGCTCAACTTTAAAAATGATCCTCTGCATGGTCCTCAACATACCACCTGTGCACTTAACTTTCTTAAAAGTCTGTAGTATAAGGGAGCTCTGTGGGGTCAGCGATGTCAATCGCCCACTCGTCGCAGTGAGCAAGTCTACAGATAGACCATCTAATGTTGGGCTTCAGGGCGTTATATCTTAGGAGATATATACCACTTTTCCCCTGTTAGTTCCTTCGTTGTTTTGTTTTGATAATCATTAACTTTTCTACAGGATTCTGCTTCTCGTGATGGTAACGTTAATTGGTTTGTGGTTTGGTCTCGACACAGCTAAGGAGCCGAGAAGATTCATATCCGTGTTAGGAATGCTGGTCTATGTCGGAATAAGTTACGTGTGTTCAGTTAACCGGAGAAAAGTGAGTCGGAATCTCATTAACAATTGCATATGCGCACGCATCATAAAAAATGCATTGTGATCCACAGGAGGGGGGCGGGGAGGGGGGTCGGATGGTGATGGTGAGGGTAACTGTGACTGTGGTCGCTCTTCAGAGTTTAATCACGACTAAGGCACTTCTAATCACGCCATAGCTAATTCTCAAGTGCGACCCCGAAAAATGTATTATCAAGATCACGGCCGACGAGGATGTAACTGACAACACGAAGTGGCAAACGTCAAACACCCAAAGCGCATTTTAAAGCGTCTAAAAAAGTAGGCTTTATCTCGATATTTATCTTATGCTTGTCAGTTAAGCCAATCATGTGCTTGCACAAATATTACACGAGTATTTTAATGCATGTGCAAAAGTTTTGCTTCGGAGAAGTACTCACTTATCCTGTCGAACAGAACGCTAGTGTTTCTTTCGATATTTCAAAGCCAATTTTGTCCACTATGGCTTGAAAAGTCCTTTTGGAAGTTCTAAGATGACGTCGCTATTCATCATCAAAATCCCCTGATCGATCGTTGAGCAAAGTCTCAAACCAGAATTGGCGACGAGGAAAAATCCACACCACTCGGTCTACTAGTGTTGAAATAAACAAAGCTAACAGATAACGAAGTCAACGTTGTCGGCTCAAAAAAAGACATGCGAAGCCTTTTGTGACGACGCAAACGTACCTTTGCAATGGCCCTCCGAAAAAGATAAAAGGCAACGAGGGCGAGAATAATTTGAATTTGATTAGCCATGGCGATATCTAAATTTATGGAGCAGCAGAGTCAAAACTAATGGGCGTTGTGAAAGAAAAGTGATCATGCGTGTTGTGATGACAGCTCTGTTATGACAGGTTTTCCTATCTCCTTTTGCAGCGTGCTAAATCGCGATTCATAATAGCCCTATCTTAAATCATGATTAATAGGACTTAATCACGATCTCTAGCGCGACCACAGCCACAGCAGTAGGATTACAAAGTTTTAGAAGCCAGAAGAAGATTGTCCCTTTTATAAATCATAACTCATTTAGGACTCCGGGAAAAAACGATAGAAGGATGGCTAGCTAAAAAAGCGTGAAAAGAGTTTGTTGAATCAAACGATGATGTTATTTGTGCATGAGATTTTTTTCCTTATTTGCTGATTGCACCTTGGTTCATGAGGAGAAAAACAAAGACTCTAATTTTGCGAGCAAGACACTTGGAGAGGGTTTGGAGGAAAATTTTATTAAAAACACGATTAGGAGGTGTCGGGGTGAAACTAGAAATAGAAAGTAGAGATCCACACACGTATTACAGCAAAATTTCGATAGCAGCGAGATCTCACTTTTTCTCTGGATCAAAGCTGTTTTCGATTTGTTCACGAAATCCAGTGTCCTCTGTTAATATTCCCATGTGCTTACATTTTGTAGGTGAAATGGCGACCGGTCCTATGGGGGATGGGAATGCAGTTTGTGTTCGCTCTGATTATCCTCAGGACCCCTCAAGGATTCACAGTTTTTAAATTCATCGGAGATACTGTGGCAAGATTTCTCGACTACACGGACGCTGGATCTGCATTTGTATTCGGAGAGGCATTTGTGACCCACTATATTGCATTTAAGGTATTGAAATGACCTTGTAAAGACCCCTAAAGAAACTTTTGCATGCAAAAGTGTGGTAATGTCAACCCAACCTCGTTCTCAGGGCGTCCTGGGAACGAGTTTGAAGTCAACCCTTCACCATATCAGTGACCACTGAATCAAGTCTTGCGAAAAGTAGTTTTCCCAACTTGTCTCAACTAAGAGACCAGTCTGGCCTCCAGCCTGGGGGGGGGGGGAAGGGTCAGGAAAATTTTTTGATCACGTGGATTGGTTTCACCAATCGCCAACAGAGGATAAGGAGGGATAACAGAAAATTGACTGTCAGTGAAGGGGGATGATTAGAATACTGCAAAACCTTTGGATGGATCTAATCTCGTATCCAGACCTTTCACGGCCAAGTGGTTGTAAGTTCATTTCAATTAAAGTTACACGATAGGATCTGGATACAAAAAGGAGGGGATCAGGTAAATCTTATTGATACAACATAAATCTTACGAACTCTCCCCCCCCCCACCCCCTCTCCCGTCTCACACTCCAGCGTTAAATAATAACCGGCCCCTAAACCCGTTGTAAAATGCTTTGAAAACATCCTTGAAGTGGAACACTCTCTACAAACCAAAATGTACGTAATGGAAAATCTTTACCTGAAAGAACTTTTTCGGCTGAGATCGCGTCCATGTAAACGTTGTTGCAATATGGATATCAACAGGAGCCCATTAAGTAATTAGCTCCCGATATATAATAACCTTGTTGGACATATTCTCTATCATTCATGGATTGTTCTACAATTTTTTTCAGGTTCTAACGGTCATCATATTCTTCAGTTCTTTCATCTCAGTTCTTTACTACTTGGGTGTGATGCCGCTGATCATCACTAAGATTGCCTGGCTCATGCAAGTCACCATGGGAACATCAGCCGCCGAGTCACTCTCGGCCGCTGGTAATATTTTCGTCGGACAGGTGAAGTGATAGCCCTCTTAAGCTCTTTCCTATCGGTATTATATGAATTTCTATCTCCATGCCATCGTCTACATTAACGTTAGAGGTGTCTTATCCCAGCGAATGCCTTGGCTGTCGTTCTCTGTCCCCGTAGCTCCTCTTGACCCAGCGTCACTCTCTCTCTCCACTTGTAATAAACAAATGGTAAACACCACAGCGTACACTATTGAGTTATGGATGCACGCGGGAGGTTGCTAAGCACGAAAGAAGCGTAAGAGTCGCTCGAGGCGATAGCCGAGAGCGACTCTAGCTTCTTGAGTGCTTAGCAAACCTCAGAGGTTTGCTAAGCACTCAAGAAGCTAGAGTCGCTCTCGGCTATCGCCTCGAGCGACTCTTACGCTTCTTTCGTGCTTAGCAACCTCCCGCGTGCATCCATAACTCAATAGTGTACGCTGTGGTGTTTACCATTTGTTTTATAACATAACATTGATACATTGTAGCTAAAGAGTTCCCTTTTATTTAAGAAATCTTACGTGACCAGAAAAAAGAAGCGCGCGCGGAAAAATAGTCTTTGCATTTGCTCACGTCAGCAGCGTACACCCATGGGCAAATGGTGGACGCTAAATTGACCAATCAGAGCGCGCGCTTTACTTTGGTTATGTTATAATACTCTTTAGACAGAAGCACCATTGATGATCAGACCATTTCTTGCAACCTTAACTCAATCCGAGCTCCATGCGGTTATGACAGGGGGCCTGGCTACAGTGGCAGGTGGAATAATGGCAGCGTATATTAGTGTTGGTGTCCAGGCTTCACATTTGGTCGCGGCTTCGGTGATGTCAGCGCCTGCTGCTCTGGCTGTTTCTAAAATCATGTACCCAGAGACAGAAGTACCCCAAACCACTTCACAGGCCGATATACATTTCGACAACCCGTAAGTTCGTGGTATCGTAGTTTAATTTTATTTTCCTTGAACGAGCACTTTATCACCAAAGGGTAATTAAAGCTAATTTTTTATTCAATTCAAGTTGCACGAGTAACTGAGGGTCTACGGGGCTCCACTTTGTCCATACGCGCGCTTCTTGTGTGAGGTTACCGCGCGTGTTCATCTTATTTGAGCTCGTACGTTTTATGTATGTTAACTGTACAAACCCCTTCATAACCCTCAGTCCTCCTTTTTTCCTTTTTTTTGTGCAGCGACGAAAGAAATCTTATAGAGGCTGCTGCTAAAGGAGCATCAACTGCAATTTCTTTAGTTGCCAACGTTGCCGCCATGTTGATCACGTTCTTTGCTTTCATCGCGTTCTTCAACGCGGTGCTGTCTTATATGGGAAGTATGATGGGATACTCCGAGCTTAGTTTTCAGGTAAAAAAAATCCGGCATCAACCATCAGTATCGATCAAGCTAGGTTAGGTGTATCTCAAGTTAAAACTGGATCGCAGTATTCATGTCTGCTGTAAAACAAATACATGTAATCTTAAGAGATTTGATTATACTTTGGTTTGTAATACTTGATTTTCAGAATTATGTTTAAGTGTACTTCAATTGAGAGAAAATGAATCGTCTTTTCTTTTTCTCTTTATCAAATATTGCATCAAAGTGTGTTAATGTCTTGTCCTTTTTCATTCTTTTCTTCTCCACCCTAGATAATCTGTTCCTACCTTTTCATGCCGTTTGCGTTTCTCATGGGAGTGGACTGGGCCGACTGCAATACTGTGGGGAGGTTCCTCGGGGTAAAAACATTTCTCAACGAGTTCGTGGCTTACATTGAGATGGCTCCATACATACAGAACCGAAACGAAATGAATGGAGGGCCCACAATATCAGTAAGACTAAAAAACAATTTACCCCTTCCACCTTCAAGATCTCAGTAGTGATTCTCCTCACTCGCTGTCATACACTTCTTAAAAAGTTTAGTTTTGAGAAGTTGTTGATTCAAATGATATTCCGCTGTTGATCATTTTCTTCATTCTCGTCACCTCTTTGCTTAAAAGGGTATTGATATTGCATGGAGAAATTACATCTTGGTCACGTGTAAAACGGTTGAACATTTAATCACTGACAGAGATAAGTATCTGCTTTCTCCTAACAGTCTTAGCCCCTGAATCAAACATTAAGGTCGTGAGAATAAAAGAAATGATAGCAAACCCAGGAAGCTCTTTAAAACAAAACACATTCTCCCTGTAAGCACCAAAGGAAATGTGTAGAGAACAGTATGGAGAATTTGCATGCTGATGTTAGGGTATAAATGTTTAAATTCAATATGATTTAACAATTCCATGATGAACAGTTCACCTACACAATTAGAAAGCGGGTGGATTTTTTTTTGGAGAATCTTGCAATAGCCTATAAATTTTATGATTATTTCTTGGAAGAGCCGGAGACTTCCATTTCTATTTTTTTTTAGCAAGATTACAAAGGCTACGGAGAGGCCACCTAATTAGTGTTGTTCCCAGTGTCCACTCAACAATTTCTAAAAATGGACGAAGGGCTCCGACGAAGGGCTAACGCTCGAAACGTCAGCTTTTATAATCGTAACGGTGGCCAATTTACCATTTCAACTTTGTTGATATATTCAAATTATATCTAAAAATGGAAATTCCACATCTCTCTATCGCGCATTTGTGCCTTTTCCGTTAACTTCTTCATTTTTCTCAACTTTTTTTAGCGTCGATCAGAAGTAATCACAACTTATGCTCTGTGTGGATTTACAAATTTTCTCGGCTTGGGTGTGTTACTTGGAGGGCTGGGTCCAATGGCACGAAGCCGAGAGGGGGACATGGCGAGAATCGCTATAAGAACCCTGTTTGCAGCTACAATAGCCTGTTTTATGACAGCCAGTATTGCTGGTAAGCCATAAGATCGTATACTTCAGTTCGAAACATGTTTCGAGGTCAGGCTGACCCGTAATCCTTTTCTCTTAACTTTAATGTTCTAAATAGTCCTTTCCAGCATTCCACATAAATATTTCCCTTATGTCCCTCCTATCTAATTTTTTTAAGGCTACTCACAGTCTATTACGGAATAGATAGCGAGTAACTGACAGTCCACTGCGTCCCGCAACTTTATAATTTCCAATTTACTTTTCAGGATTTTTATATGACGAGTCTTTTGAAGCTGCAGCAATGATTGGTCCTACTTCATCTCTGAACACTACTACGTCACCATAAGAAGTAGCCAATCACCTTCATACAGCTGCGAATGAGAGCTGTCAATAGGAGTCGTAGGTTGAATCGTAAATAGCGGACATATTTCAAGTTGCCTTTGACAGAGAGGCAAAGAGAGTCTAACATTCACGAAGAAGATTTAAGAGCCGATTATCTCTTAATTGGTTTCTAGAACGTAGGCAACAATCGTGGCTCCAGTCTATCGATGGCCGAAACCTGAGTTTGTGACAAATTACAATCTCTTGAAATGTTTATTAAGTTACATTTACCACTTTCACCTGTCTTGAAAGTGTTTTGATAAGAAACCAGAGTACAAATTTTATGTAACATAATTTGCAAAATCTAGCTATCTTTACAAAGGCTGGATTGTATTTGTCATTCGTGTTTACTCTTGTAAATCCACTAGATTTTCTTACTCGACAGGAAAAATATTTTCTTAAAGCCATAGAAAGTGTAAAGCGCGAGACTTAGGAATAAGCTTTTAAATTACGCGACCAACAATACTAGTTTATAGCTTCTACGAAAGGAAGATAATTGTAAAGTGGTTTATGAAAACAGTCCATCAGTATCTACCCATGATTTATATCTAATTCTATAGCTAGAGAAGAAATTATTAATCAAAGAGCGGTTTTGCCTTACTATCATATTTAAAGTGGTAACAATGGCAATAAAAGAGGTTTAAAGAGAGGCAAGTTGGAAGTACATAGACATGCGTATGCGCGTAACTTGAAGAATGAAAGATAAAGACGAAAAGAGATGAAAGGAAACTTACTTCCGGTCTAAATCAATTACCGATTGAAAGTCAAAGGTAAACAGGGGTTGCGTTAGTTTCTCTCTCCTGCCCTCGTTGTGATTGGTCAAGAAAAACTCGCACCACCCTCTTAGCCAATCAGATGCAAAACTAACGCCAATCGCGACTAAGTTACTCGCTTTTTTTCCGTGCTTACCGATAAGTTACCGTTGTTCTGATTGGCTTCTGTGAATGTTTTGGTTTCCCTTTAATGATACTAAATCGAAATGAGTTATACTGATTCATTACTGCACTATCATGCCTAATGATAGCCAATTCTATTTCATGTTTCGATCATGGCAGTCAACTTCAATGCAAAATCCAGTTAATCACGAAAAGTCTGTATTTGTCTGACGTACACAATTCCCATTCCACATCGCCATGAATCAGAATTGCTCTTCCCTGCTGTCCCCTAGGAGAGGCTGAGTGTCGCTGGATGAATCCTGTGTCCTTCTCGGAGCCTCCTATGATATTAAAATTGTGCCGTTTTTAGAAAAAAAAAATATCTGAACCATACCACAGACGGTATTTGGTTTGAGATCACTCGCTCCCTTCAGAGAAAAGCTGACGAACCCTTACTGAATCATTTTGTTGTGTTTTTGACAAGAATTTGAACTCTCTCATAGCCTGCGCCTCGTGAGTCCACAACATTTTGACCACTGTGATGACGAATATCGTTGAAGATAAGAGTGCAGAGCACGCTAAACCACTGTCGATTTGTTAATTCCCTTATCGGAATAGACTATACATGTGAACAAATATCCAGGCATACTTTCGCGCTAAATCGTGGTTATTGCAAGTGCAAGGTCTCTGATATGCAAAAAGGTTGTTACACCGAGGCTCCAACGTGTTTCATAACAAAACTACAACAACTAAGCTCCATGGCTTACCTCCGGCGGTTGGAAATCAGGACTGAGCGGTCTCCGTGATCTGTCAGCATCGACTGATTTCATCCTACTCATCTTCGCTCTGGCCAAAGACACCTTCCTTTTGACATCAGAGCGATGTCGAGTACATGATATGTCTGCCTCGTCCCAGATCTCCTCTTGTATCAACAACTCAAGCACATCTTCCAGAGTTATAATGCCAACAACTCGCTACGAAGACAACACAAAATTGAAATTTGAGAAAAGAAATGTCACGAGGTCTCGACCCACGCACTAGGCGCACGAAAGGGCGTGGCAAGCGCATGTCCGTTTGCTTGAGTCCAGTTGAAAGCATGTACTAAGGCTTGAGCGTAACAGTACTGACAATTAAATCATCTCTTACCTAGCTTTTTTCAGAGGGCGCACATTGTACGACTTAAAAGCTCAGCACAAGAATTTCAAGTCCAGAACATGAGACAGAAAAAGAGTAGTAAGCACAACCAAGAGAAAATGAGGGAACATAGAGGGACTTTCAGAGCGTTGCCTGGGATACGTCAATTCCTCTAAAATGTTGTTTCACTCTAGACGGGAGATGAAGATAATCTGGTATTCGTTAAAAAAACTGAAGGCCACTGATAGATGCGCTGAACTTTGGAAAATTGCAGTGTGAAAGCAAGTAACACACTATGAATGACAAAGTCTACAGGATAATAGGGACTTTAAGCAGTCAGGACGGCAACGCCACGGAAGACGTCNTGTTAAATCATACTTTGAAACAAAATCAAACACCAAAGGCACATACGTACTTTTCCCAGTCTGAAACTTGTCTAATAAATCAAACAGAGGTTCAGTTGTAGATGAACGTAGAAAAGATCTAGCTTTGTACACATCTTTAATGGGCGTGGCCTCATCAGGGTCCAACATGATAAGTGACTTAACAAACAGAAGGCCCACAATGTTTTCTTTGTTTCCTTCATACACCGGTACACGTGAATGGCCTTTTCCACTAATCTACAGTCAAAACAAATGAATTATTAAGAACCTTGAAACAAATAGAATTTTAAATTTGTAATCTAGGAAACAAATGCCACCTCTCAATTATTTCATATGAAAGTGTAAAATACAGTTGGCTGTCATCCAGCCCTAAAAGTTAACCTTTGTTTAAATATTTTTATGTATAAATATATCTTATTAACCAAGTGTGAGGGCTGTACTGGGAGAATATTGGCCCCAGGTCTTGACAGTACGGACCGAGCGCAGCAAGGTCCGTACAAAAAAGACGGAGGGCCGATCTTCTTCCAGTACGGTCCCGAGCAAGCTTGGTTAATAAGAGATTTATTACACGACTGAAGTTCAAAGGGACACAAGCACGGTATCATTAGGGACCATTCGGGACCATTCGGGACAGTGCCTGGTCCAATACTGAGAGAATATTGACTGGCAATAGAGCATTTTGATTGGTTGATTTTAGTTATTGGCCCTCTGACTTCCCGAGTCGTGTAGTAAAAAATCATATATTATGGCTAGAGTTTTGTGAGGTTTTATCTTAGTCACAATGTGAGACAGAACAGAAGGAAATATCATATACACCAGTTCCAGATGAACTTAACCAAACCATCATTTCATTTTCCAACCTTCAATTGAAATGTAAAACATTTTTCAAGTAAATGAATACTCACCTGTGTCATTGTGTCGTGATCCAGTTTGCAATTTGCATCCAGCATGAAAACATTCTCCAAAGGTGTGTATTTATCTGCCACTGTTTTGTTCCTCATTTCTAATGCTCCCTGCAGAAACAAGACACCATCATCAGACAAAGTTGTCTCATAGCACAGCCCTTCAAATTATGACAGCATAACTCAAAATATACCTTCGAATTCCCAAAAAATAAATTAGTGGCTTGCCTTCAACCCATTTAACTCTAAGAGTGACCAGCAACTTATTTCTCCTTACTGTAAAACTTTTAAGATCAAGAGAATTACTGCAATTATCTCCAACCTGAGAAGCTTTCATTTTTAAAAAGGATTTTCCTTGTAAGTAGCTGGGAAATGAATTCAGAAGAGATTGGAGATTGGATAATGATGCTAAGGTGTAAAGGGTCACTTAGAGTGACTTGATACAAGACATTTATGCAGAAGACACAACTTTATAAAAAAAAGTTTTAGTTCTGAAAAAAATCCCCATCTAATACAGGCTTTCATTCAAGAACTCCTTTTTAGATGCAATGCCCTTGCATTTTCTTTTAGCTCTGCCTAGACATGGGGAACCCACACACACAGTAACATACCTGTATAATCATAACCTCATCATCTCTGAGGGGATCTTCATTCGCATCTGTAGACTCTCTGTGAAGATCCACAAGTTCTCGCAGCTCTAACAGAATAGAAATCAGAGGCAAGTTCTTCATTTAAAAACTGTTAAATTAACATGATCAAAGCTCAAAAAGGATGCTCATTTTGTGTAACAAGACAACTTTTAGTAACAGTACCTGCTCGTCTGAAGAATGTGGAGTGTTCGTGTCCCAGAAGAAAGTCTAAAAGTTTGGAGATGGGCCAAGCAATCACAAATAGTAACAGCATTAACAATTTCACCATCCTATAAAACAAAAGAATTTCAGTACATACCACCAATTACAGTGAACAGAGCTTTTTGCCCATACTGATTGGCTAGTTCAGAAGTGGATAACAAGTACTATTCACCTCCGTGCAGCCAATGAGACAAAATTGGATGTCAACAGTTTAATATCCAACCATTTTCAGTATATTGAGAGATAAGTAATTTTTTGGTGTCTGTGTGGTATATACTAAATCAATTATTTGCCTCAGTGTCAGCAAAAGTGGTGGATATTTACCTAGCTGCCTTGCTGCACAGCAAATATCCACCACTACTCACCTCCACTTTGGTAAATAACTGTTCGTCATTCCACCTGTCATTCAACAAGACAGATGAACAACTTACGGCGCCAGGGTTGCACCAATAGCCAGGCCATAACGAGTGCATAGGGCTTGAGGAACAACTCTGTCAACAAAATGCACAATCAACATAATAAGATAGCATGTTACATTTTTCATTCTCTAATTCTCACTTTGTTCTTAAATTTTTCTAAGTCAGAATATGAAGACAATTCTTTCACTTAACCTCCACACTGAACCTGCTAATGTTCGCCATGAGCTAACTCTTATTTGTTTTAGTATCAGCATTCATGATGCCTCTCATTGAATCTAGTTGGGAAAACACAAGACAAAAAAAAGACAACAACACCTGATGTGTACTGGTAAGTAGACAAACTTTGGAATTAAAGATCACTTTCTGCAAAGAATTTGACATAAAAGTAGACATGAACAATGGTTCTGTGTCATCCCAAAGTTTTCTGAGACATCTTTCACATCTTTTTCTCACTCTCTGAGGAAAACAGACTTATTTATTGGTATTAACACAAGAAATAGTGTTGCGAGACAGCTTTGCATATCCTCTTACTCTCCAAAAAACAGCACAGCAGTAACTGAGACACAGATGGCAATCACAGGACTGGATATCCTATCCATGAAAATTGGCATGGACTCCACTGCTGCAGCATTTGCCAGCAAAAGAGTGACCAATAATAAGTGATGTTTCTCTACCAAGGGCAAAATTTTAGCAGCATGTTTCTTTTCTAATGGCTTCCCTCCCCTTTGAAGAACTTTTAAACTCAAAATATCCAGTGATAGTAGGCCCATGGTCAGTCCAGACATCAAACCTGAAAAAAAAAGACAAAAATTATCTATCATTAAAATTAGTTCACGTCTGAGAATGAAAGATCGAAAGCTAAATAACCACCATGGACCTTTCAAACAAAACTATCAGCTTTTGGAGACAAAAAAAGACTTTCAAAAGAAACCAAAAGTAGTGTCATCCTTGCAGGTTCACATTAGATCATGAAAACATGATGTATATTTTAAGTTTCCAGAGGAAAATATTTGAAAAAAAAATACACTACACACCAAATTTTGTCTAGAATTTTGTATCAAATTTAGCTTTTATTCCCATTTTTCTGTAGGTTTTAGTCATCCTTTCACATCAATTAAAATTATTCAATTTCCTCGTCAACTATCTCTGAACTTTAGCCCATCATAACGCCCAGTTTTTAAAAATTGATGTACCTTTAGTTTCGTTGTAAACTAACAGTTTGGATTTTTTATTTGTGCGTTTAAGTTCGCAAAATCGCCTTAGATGTGGAGCATTTCAGTTTCTAGCAGGGCAGAATGTATATTAAGCTGTATCACCTGCAAACAGTACCAAGGCAATATAGACTCCGAGGTAAACCCAAAATAATTCGTCCTTGTAGTTAAGCGCTTCCTCGTGAGGATCATATTGAGTTCCATTGCACATCAAAGACTCTTCATCCTTCCTGACACAAAGAAAGCCCATCTTTGGCAGCTCCTTCAAAGTTTCCAGTATTTCTAGAATTTTCCTAGTTGAGGATTCAAGCTAACTGCCCGCCATGTTAACAACCGAAATTTAGCCCCGAGCCTCCCCTAGAGGGGGGTTTAACCCAGTGGTTTGCACCCCAGACGGGGACGCGTACTCAGTGTCTAGGTCTCAAAGGAGTCGCCATGCTCCTCGGAGCCCTGAAGGAGGCTCGAAAGGGTTTTTTTGACCGCGCGGAGAATGAATTCCAAGATACACGCAAGCAAATTACTCGCGAGAGAAATAAGCGATGGCGCGCGCGATCAGATCCGCCGCTGAGTTGTAAACAAACAGGGCCGCCATGAGCGTTTCAAAATTGCCGGGTACCTCTATTGTTTCCAGCGGAATTGGCTGTTTGAGAAACAAAAATGGAAAGTTTACTTCTTGAAAGTAGGTTGGAAAATGTTTGGATGGCAGGACTTTTGCCGAAAGTGCTCAAAGAAAGTTTATTGAACGAGCTAAAGGAGGAAGGTGAAGTCAGCACCCCATCAATAAAGTCGCGACGAGTGTATTCGGTATGTCTTACTTTGTTCCGCGAAAAATGTAAGTGGATACCTCTGAGTGCTACGATTTGTTTCGCATTGAATTTGATTCCTAATAAAATGAAATGACCGAGAACTTTCCAAAACAACTCACCGGAAGATGGAAAGGAAAATGAAATCATCGTTGGATCCAGGATGGTAAACATTGACAGTGTGTTTTATGAACGGAAATGGAGAAGTGTAAATGTTGCCATAAAAAAACAAACATAATTTTCAGTAAACAAGAGATCGTAAAAATGTAAATGAGACTTTAATTCTAAATCAACCAGAAACGGTAAAATTAAAATAAAATATTCATCTTAAACTTGCGAGAAAGATTGTTGATATTTCACTCGATAACCTGTAAATTACAACTACGAAAATGCAAACTCGCATTGCATTGCAAAATTTGTTTTGTTTTCCATTAAAACGGAATAATGAAAGTTCACGGCCATGACAGTGGCAAAGAGAAAAAAGGAAAATGAAGCCAAGGCTTGTTCATACCTCTAGTACCTTGAAAAATATAGAAATTCGCGAAATCTGTCACGACCAATAAATTACTGATGTATATGAAACCCTGATTTCCGCTTAGTTTGACGCTCTTGACAATCTGGAAGACGTCAAAGCAAATTCTTTTAACTCCAAATTGTTTTCACTCCTCCACTTCAAATTGCACACAAACAATTATACGGTCAATCATGGTAAATGTGCATCGCCGAATGAGGCCTTCGATCAAGCCATCTTCTCGGAACAACGACAGGATACCATCCAGACGTCTGATGGAAAGCTTCATCTTTCGACAAACATGGTCCAGAAGCTGGCAGAGGCTGGTTTGTCTCATGTTACACTACAATCTCTGTACGAGAAACTCAACATTAACGGTCTCAATGTTGTACTGGCATTGGCGCCACCTTCAAAATCAACTTGTCATCATATATCGAATTCCGCAAGAGAATTCTCTCCGGAATGTTCTTACATTTCCAACTGTCGTAACGGTAAGCAGTCTGAGTCTCAAATGATGACTTATTTTTCAGGAATGTGTAAAATCACGAAACAATGTGAATCTATCTTCAGGATGTACGATTTTTTCCGCGCTGAGGGCATCCACCGATTAATCGCGCGGACACGGACTCATCCTCGCGAAAATGAGCCCTGGAGTCAGCGGTATCGTTTAAAGCGCATGACCGGATATAAAAGTGTGAGCTAAAATTGTAAAAACCGGAGATAAAGCTTGCTAAGTTGATGAACTAATATCTCGAAAATTAGTTCGGTGATCTTCCCTGATTTTTTGTGTACAAATTATTTTCATCATTACGCATTCCTGAAGAAAGTTTTAAAAAAATTTATCTAGTGGAAAATTTTTTACATTTTAAAACAGCAGTTTCCTATATAATTCAAGTTCTACTAGTTAGTTTTTTTTACATCACGTATACAGATAGAGAATGTGATGATGTTAAATAAATTTAAAAANATGATAAGTTTGACAGTCCTGATATCTTTTACTGATTGGCACTTGCTGTTAATTGTGGAAAACCCTTGCGAGCCTCTTTAAAGGGTAAGGTAAGGGGAGATTTTCAACTATAAATATTAGAATAAGCAATAAAATATAGGAATAGAATGCGTTCATAATTAATTATGGTTGCTTTTTCTTTGTATATGTTTTTTACAACTGGTTCCTGGCACTCTAACTTGGCAATTAAATTGCAACTAAATCTAAATAATCTCCAAAAAAATTTGATCGCAATTTCTTTATTTTCTCTGAGCTTCTAGATAGCTTAAAATTTATATTCTCTAGAAAGAAGGCCAACTTTAGAGAGACCACTATTTGAGGAAGAATTTAAGAAATGTAGCAGTGATTTGTTAAACAAATGGACAATATCTTCTGGTCCAAGTATGCGGTTTTGGCTGTTTTTTGGATCGGTTTTTCGGTTTCTGGGCCAGAAAGGTTCGGTTTTTCGGTTTTGATGTTCAGAGCGGTTTGCGGATTTTACGTGTTTTTGCATTCGGTTTTCAGTTTTCACGAAAACTCTGATGTGGTTTCCGATTTTTCCTTTTTGACCCCTTTAAAGGTGAAAATGTAGCGGTTTTGTCAGGTTTCCACGCGGTTTTCAGTTTTGCTGCCTTTTTTCGTCCGTTTTGGAGGTTTTTTCTCTGGTTTTGCGGTTTCCCAGAGGCCCCAATGCCCCCCTCAAGTATAAAATAGTTCAGGCCATGAAAATTAAGAAGGAGAATTTTGAGTTGTAGCCAGATGGTTTTCTGACCTCCAATGTCATAACTCATCCTCTGCACTGTTGTCTCATGGCTTTCATCAAATATGCTAAAATTCTGTATGCACAAGTGGTGGATCCAGGGGGAGAGTTTTGTAGGGGTTGAGACCACACAACCCCTATCAACGACAGGCTGGCATATTACTAATCAATATCAAGCATATCAAATTTACTAGTCTTGAAATATTTTGTACCTTTTAGGCTCTATTGTAGCAAAAAGTCTTCCTTTTCTGAATCAAAGTTTGGACCACTCGAAAAAATACCTGGATACACCCCTGTTTACTGTTGTTTAAGAGTAATACCTGCAGCTACAAAAGTAATAAATTTATTTTTTAATGCATCATCAAAGTTTATTCTAATATGCGTAACTTTTCAAAAGTTCTTTTTATCCATAATTAGAAATGTTATGTTTAAATGTAAGAATAACTATACAGCATATGTAAGTTTAAAGTACAAATGTCGTAATGACACAATAATATTAGTGGTTGAAAAATTGCTGGTTTTAAAAAATTTTATTATAATGATTATAACCTGAAGTCCAACATTGGAGACAAACCTGTTGCCTGCAACATATTTCTTTAAAATCATAATACTAGTATAATATGTGACTTTGTGAAGTATGGTCTATCTTACATTATGCATAATTTATGAGGAGCACTAGAACCTATAAAAGAATGAAAAATATACTCAAACTAAACCTACCTAAATTGAGTATAAAGATTCATACTAAAGGTAAAGTGATGAAGCTAAGGTAATAGGTACTTTTAAGACCTCTTAGAAAATTCTTTAATTTGTTTTCATAAAAACAAGAAAGCAATTTTCAAAATAAGGAAAAAAGTCATCACATAATCACACTATAAACCAAAACTGAGAAAGAGCAAAATTCTAAGTGCCAAGACTAAACAGAGCAGTCTCAAAAATGAACCCAAGAATCTGTTCCCCCTCTTGCCATTCCACCCCCTCCCTCCTTAGGCAAAGCAAATGACACAAAAAGATTTGGTGTTACAGTCAAACTAAGTGAAGCGTACCCCTCAAGATTACATTAATGAATTGATCAATTGGATATTGAACCCACCAGTCATTTCAAGAATGCAATAATGAATTTATTATTTGATTATTGAACCCGCTAGCCATTTCACGAATGCAAAAATGGATTGATTATTTGAATATTGAACCCAATGGCCATATCCGTTTTGAAAAGGCATGTATCATTGTTCAAATTAGAAGTCCACTTCTGAAGGCCAATAAGATTGTTCTATTTGATGAGGAATCCTGAAAATGAACAAACTGCACTGTAAAAACACTGCGAAAACAGTCGATCGCAAATATCAATAAAATAAAAAAAGTCTTCCGATGGCTTCGCCAATAAACTATTTTTTTCAACCATGAATACACACAAGAATTTCTACAAGTTCGTCAAGATGTAAATAGGCGAAAAAAGCTCTCGATAATATAACATTCCATTTACAACATTTACAAAAAGTTCTACACAACACTCGCACCCACCTTTCCCCCCATGTCTGACGCCATGTTGAAATAGTTCCGATCTATCATCACGTGTTCGCATAATCCAATCAGAAATGGACTTCTGATTTGAACAATGATCCATGCCTTTTCAAAACGAATACCGCTATTAGGTTCAATATTCAAATAATCAATCCATTATTGCATTCTTGAAACGGTTAGCGGGTTCCATGTTCAAATATTCAATTCGTTATTGCGCTCCTGAAACGATTAGCGGGTTCAATATTCAAATAATCAAATCATTAATGTAATCCTGAGGGGTATGCTTCACTTAGTTTGACTGTAAAGGGACAGGTGTGATTGGGGATCACTCGGAAGTAAATGGATTAGTGTGCTTGGTGGACCCTTCTCCACTGGATGTAAATTTCACAGAATACAAAAAAAATATCTGCCCAAATTAGTCTACTGGATATTATTAAAAACTGGATCATTGGATAATGCAATTCAAGACTTCTAATTGGCTTAGCCATTATGGTATATGAGCCAATATACCATAATCTAATATCTGTACATTGTAACATCTGGTTTCTTCTTACAAAATAAAGTCGAGAAGATTTGTCTAATATCTTGGGAGCGTTTTTTTT